TTTTGGTCATTTTACTATTAAGTGTAAGCCTAAAATTGATCCATGAGAGAAAAATAACTTGATTATCGATAAAAAAAAGTTAGGAATTCAAATTAAAAAAACTTAAAGTTTAAATTTTTTCTTTATTTGACAAAAAATTTAAAGTCCTATAAAACCAATTAATCTTAAAAAAAAAAAAATTAGGTGGAGAATCCCGACCACTATTCGCTATAAAACCTCACATTACATGCACATCCACCCATTCTCCAATTTCGTTTGAAAATCTTCACGGTTGATGTTATTAAGGGGAAGTTATTCCCGCCAATTTGCCCAATTTTATGTGCCCCTTTAACTGTCTTAAAGCAGTTAATAAAAACAAGTGTGTTTGCACCTAACTTTCTAATTTGATCAAAGCTCACATAGCTGAATTGAGCTAAATTCCAAGTCAATTCGTTGCCCTGGTGGATTTTTAATCCTTGTCTGTTTTAAATTTCTCTAATTTAATTTTTTAAACGATGTAATAATTATTCAGAGGAAGTGCTGGGCCTAGGTGCTGAGAAGTAAGCAGTTCCAAGGCAAGATTTTATTGTCCACGGCTACGCGTTTGCGTTTTTTGTGTGATTTGTCTTGATGGCTATGATTCAATACAACTGCCTTGTTGAGTGGTCAAGATACAAGAGCCGTTGGAGCTTGATAACCATTCTAAATGATTACGTGGATGTAGAGTTTATGGACGGTACTGCATTGCTGTTGCGAGAAAAAGTTGTGAACAGTGGAGGAAAGAAATTAATATCCAAAAAAAAAAGGGATTATGCTAAAAAAAACAATAATTGTGTTGTTTCGCATAGAATGCCATGATTGATGTTTTACTTTGGAACTAACGTATGTAATAAAATATTTGAAAGTTTCAAATTAGTCATCTAATTAACATTGTTTACAATATATGTGGACGAAAAGCCTGAAATAAAATATATATAATAATTAAAGTAAAAGACTAAAATGAATGATACATTTTGTTTGGATAGTCAAATTATTATTTATTTTCTTTTTTTATATTTACATAGAATTCTACTTAGTTGGATTTTAAGCAATCCATTCCCACTGTAATAGGTATTCCAGAAAAAATTTACAGTTACAATTTTTCTTAAAGTTTGAACTTTATGTAATGATTAGAATAGAATCACCTATAAACCATGAGGATGTTGTCGCGTCCTAAACAATGATTTTTCATTTTTAGTTTTCAAAGTTAGATATTTCTTAAAAACCACCTTCCAATGCAAGATTGGTTCATTAACAAGCATCAACTTCATTCGTACAGGATTGACATTTTACATGCCATACATAAAAGGAAGACGAGAAAATGTACTGAAGGAGGCCATTCAAACACTCTATGATTGCTCAAGGGTTTGAATTTGTCTATTTATTATGTTACAAAGAAAGGCTTTTTTGGTGTCTAATTTTTTTTTTTTTGGCTGAATTCAGCTAAATCTTGATGTTGTCGACGTATCCGACGAGACCTGCCATGTGTTAGTAAAATACCACATTAACTCTATCACATCAGCACATCATACTTTCGGATAGCTATGGACACTCAAATTGGAAAGGAAAAAAAAATCAAAGTCTAGGCGTCGAAATAGAATAAAGTTAAAGATTGGACACCTAAATATATATATATAAATAGCTAGACAACAAAAATATAGTTTTCTCAAGAAATTTAGTTTTCTTACACCAAATATTTATCCCCTTTCTATACTCCGATATACCTTTTCTTTATTATAAATAGATTTTATACATTGCTTGTGCTTTCATAATCTTTATATGTGTGTGTGTATATATATATATATATATATATATATATATATATATAATCTCTCAAAAAAAATTTTTGATATTAAAAATCATGTAATTTTAAATTCTAAAAATATCAACAATTACATGTATATATATTTTCTCGTTATTATGCTAATTGTACAATTAATTTTAACAATGCATTTACTTTTTAGCATAATTTATAGTTTACTTATTATTTCTTTCATTATCAACATCACTACAAAAAATATTGTATTTTAAACTCTCAAATAAAAAAGATTGATCATTAAATATATTTATGTTGATTCTATCCTATCTCAACTTATTATAAGCATTTCGGTAAATTATTAGCTACGGTAAAGTTATATCGCCTATGATATATTAGTCAATTTTTTTCCTAGACGAGATAATTTTTTTTTTTTTTTGTAACTTTTTTCATTGACCAATCGTTTATTCCGCAAATGACAATCATAATTGTATCTTACATGTCTTTTATTTTTCTAAATTTAATCTTAATTGGACTTTGTATATATTTGAATTAAATGATGTAATTTTAAATTTGTCTAGACATATAAAAAGGTTTAGATTTTTTTAAAAGTAATTTTTAACCGATATAGAGTACTAAAAATCACCATTGATAAGTAAAAAAATATAATGAGTATGATATGAAAAAATTTTATTAGAAATTGTTTGACTAATTTTACAATCTCGAAACAATAAATTCTTAAAAAAATTGCATATTTGGTACCCAATCTTTAATTTTTTTCCTGTTTTAATGCTTAACCTTTGATTTTTTTTTCTACTTTAGCGTCTATAGCCACGTGAGAGTATAAGGTGTTGACGTGGTAAATCTCGTCGGACATGTCAACAAAACTAGGATTCATGTGAATTTAATCACCAAAAAAAAAATAAAATCAAAACTTGAATAGTCAAACATGAGAAATCAACAATTGGATGTCAAGACAAAAAAAATTGAACAGTTAGACACCACAAAAGCTTTTTCTCGTTATGTTATTATACAATCAATGAGTCATGTTATATCTTATATGAGTTGCATAGAAATCACTATAATTGCAAATGTTCATAACAACCTTCGATGATAGAAGAATATATCATAGTTGTTCGTTAGTTTGACAATAATAAATAAAGATGAAATCGTTTTAGGAATTTCATGTTGCATTTTTTTAACGAGTTGTTTTGTTTCCAACGAAGATCTACATCACCTTGACAAACTATTGATTGAACTATACATTGAAAGTCATTTATCTAACTCTCAACATACCTATTTTGATAGTCTAAGAGTTTGTCTCTTTATGTTATGAAATTTAAATTAATAAAAGATAAGGAGAAACAATTTTTTTTAAAAAAACTTGCTTAAAATTCAATAAGAAATAGATTTAGTTTCAATCCATGAAAGCTGACCCAATAATATTACGAACATTTAAAAAAATCACAAGTACATCCACGAATAATTATTCAATAGAATTAGATAGGTTAATTTAAATTTCATTTATTGAATTATTTTGCCAATATTTTTACCAAGACACAAACATAGGATACGTGTGTAATTATGTACACCAAAAAAGATTAATATTGTGTCAAATAAAGATTCGTTAAGTGGATTATGTCAACAATTTTTACGATTAGCTGTAATACCTCTCAATTTCCAATTGTATTTAAAAATATTGGCGGGCAATGTCATTAAGTGGAAGATGTTCCCGCCAAATCGCCCAGTTTTATGTCCCCTTGAGCTTTTTGAGGCAAGCAAATGAAAAAAACAAAACAAGCGCTTGGACCTTAATTTCACGTCCCAAATAATTGAACAGGACACAACTCCGAGTCAACTCGTCGTGACAACGAGTTGGATTCTAAATTCTCGCTTGTTTTAAATTTCTAATTTACATAAATTTTATAAATGATGTAAATATTTAGGTGGAAGGTAGCTTAAGCATTTGTCCTGGCTAGAGACTTTATTGTGTACAGCTACGCGTACGCGTTTCTTGTGTGATTTATTTTTACTTTAGCTTACCTAATAATATGCTATGATTCAATATAATGGGCCCCGCTTAAAGGTACATAGCCGCCGTTTTTTTATGGTGATAATCATTTCAACTGATTTGCAAATGTTCCAATTGCTTTCTATATCCTAGATGCTATTAGTAAAATGAAAATCGGGCCAAGAAAATATGAACATAACCATGTTAAAAAAATAAAAAATTACGTTGTTTTACTTTGAAATACAAATTAATTAATTTATCTTAATGTTCATCTAAAAACATATTTATATTTCACATTGATGATATTGATTAATGCTTTATATTTTCATTCGTGATTCATATCTTATATATAAAATAATAATAATAATAATATTTATACACATACAAATTTGGGTATGAATGTTTTCCTAAAAATAAATAAAAAAATAATATTAAATCATATAAAATAAATTTAATATAATAAAAGCTCATTTTGTAACATAAATTAGTAAAAGTTTTTGAATAACGAGAAATCAAAACTTTATATAATATTTGTCTATCATATTATTTTATTTGAATAACTTTAATAACAATATTTAAAAAATCTAAATTAAAATGATATATATTTGTTAGATTTAATGATTTTTAAATATTTTTAATTAATATAAGTGATTTTATACTAATCATTAATCTTATCAAGAGATATACTTAAATTATTTTGTTTTCTCTAATGTTTTGTTAAAATAACTCATGACATGAAATCATTGACCATTACTTTTGTAATCATTTGAATTAAATTAACAATTTAACTTCTTTTTACAATCGTATCAATTAATGAAATAAAAAAAATGTTTTTACAATATCATCCTTTATTCAACTTGTAGAATTTGCCATGGCATCGTTAAAAAAAAACAAAAGGTTGACCAGAGAAACAAAAGAAGGGGTGTACACTCTTGCCGTAAGGCTGCCTCCATTATACATATCCTTTTCCCACAAATTTTCCAATTGACAAAAAAAAAAAAATAAAAAATAAAAAAACAACGTTAACGCGTAAAAAAGAAAAGAAAAATCTGAGCGCAAAACAACTCAGACGAGTCAAACTCAGATCTGAGTCACACACGTAACCCGATATAGGTATTTTTTTATTAGTCACTATTTGTTAGTAGAGAGATGCCGTCCTTCTCTCTTATAAGGGCACCCCTCTGTCTCTCTAAAAAATCCTCAAAATCGTCTTCAATGACCACCACTAAAAGCTTACAAAGGTAATTTTGCTCTCTCTGCAAACTCAAAATCACAGCGTCAAATCTATCTTCTATTTATTGGATTTCTGATTTTTTTTCAAAAATTTTTATTATATTTTTTCTGATTTTTTTAGGGATCTGGATGAGTTTTAGGTCCACGAGGAGACAAAATCAAGTATTATATTGAATTTTTGTTTTTGTTCGAGTGGCAAATTAGTGATTTAGTGATATTTTGCTTTGGATTAATAGGGATTTAGGGTTTGGTTAGATCCGATAGTGATTTTAATGGAGTCTACGGAGGTTAAAAAGAGGGGTAGAGGTAGACCCAAAAAGCGGAAGCGTATCGAGGAAGAGAGTGAAGATAAGAAATTAGAAGTAGCTAGTGCTTTGAAAAAACAAGCTCTGGATTTTAGATGGAAGCCATTAGTGGGCAGGTATGTGTTGAAAGAGTTTGATAGTGGGATTTTTTTGGGGAAGATAGTGTATTATGATACTGGGTTGTATAGGGTGGATTATGAGGATGGGGATTGTGAGGATTTGGAGAGTGGTGAGTTACGCACAATAATGTTAGGGGATGATGATTTCGATGATGAATTGTTTTTTAGGAGGGAGAAACTAGATGAATTTATTTTGCAAAAGAATGAGAAGAGAAAGGCAGAAGCAGAGAAGGAAGTGGTGGATTCGAAGAACGAGGTGAATAAGGTTGAGTCATCATTGTTGAGTGGTGGGTTGACAGTTGAGAATGATGGGGTGCATTGTGAGGATGATGCGGATTCCTCGAGTGATTCGTGTGAGCATGAGCAGGGTGGGTGTTTGGGAATGGAAGTGGAGACTCCAATTGTTCCACCACCGCAATTGCCTTCATCATCAGGGAGTATAAGTGTGCCAGACGAGTATGTCTCACATCTCTTTTCGGTTTATACATTTTTGAGGTCATTTAATATCCGTCTTTTCCTAAGCCCATTTACTTTGGACGATTTGGTGGGGGCGATAAATTGCTCAGTCCAGAACACATTGTCTGATGCCATTCATGTTGCTTTGATGCGAGCATTGAGACGCCGTCTCGAAGCACTCTCTTCAGATGGTTCTGAGCTTGCATCAAAATGCTTGAGGTATATATAGAAATGTTGGTACTTAATTTGCATATTAGAGTTCTTCAATGAGTGAAGATTTTATGACAATTCATAAACTTTTGCTTCATTTATAGTTTCTGTGAAAATGTAGTGTGGATTTTAACTACTTAGGATGGACAACTAAATGACAAGATAATAAATTTGATATTCTTTCTTCCATCATTCTCTGCAGAGGGATGAGAGTTTGCTTTATTTCTTTGTCTTTAAAAGAGATGTTCTGATGGGATATTGCTGTTGCATGTATTGTAGGCAATTCTGTCATGTGTATGGCTGTTTTTGTGCTGTATGTTCCTGTGCTTTGATGTAGGTAGTATATGCATGTGTTTGTATGTGATGTCATGTTTGATTTGTTTATTCAATTTCTGCCAATTAATGTATGGAAATATGTCCCACTCCTTGTGTTCAGGAGCGTGGATTGGTGCTTGCTTGACTCACTCACTTGGCCTGTTTATTTGGTCCATTATTTTACAATAATGGGATATGTGAAGGGAGATGAGTGGAAAGGATTTTATGATCATCTTTGGAAGAGGGAGTATTATTCCTTGCCAGTGGGTAGGAAGTTGATGATTCTGCAGATCTTATGCGATGATGTCTTGGAATCTGCAGAACTAAGAGCAGAAGTTGATATCCGTGAAGAGTCAGAAGTTGGTATAGATCCTGATGCTGTTGCAACCAATATTCCTGACAATGGACCAAGAAGGGTTCATCCTAGATATTCCAAGACTTCAGCTTGCAAGTACAGGGAGGCCGTGGATATCCTTGCAGAGAGCCTAGGGAGCAAGTCCTTCAGCAATTCAAAGTATCTGGGCTCCAAAGGCACTGAAAGGGATGGGAATGTATCTGATGCTGATATAGATGGTAATGGGGACGAATGCCGCCTTTGCGGCATGGATGGAACCTTGCTTTGTTGTGATGGATGCCCTTCATCATATCATTCAAGATGCATAGGTGTTGTCAAAATGTATATACCTGAAGGCCCATGGTATTGTCCGGAGTGCATTATCAACAAGTTGGGACCTACTATTACAATGGGAACATCACTTAGAGGAGCAGAAGTATTCGGAATTGATTTGTATCAGCAAGTCTTCTTGGGTACTTGCAACCACTTACTGGTGTATGTTTTAGCCTCTGCTGTGTTTTATTTTTCATTTTTTAATATTAATTAAATGCATTAAGACCTAGGAAGCTTCATTTTATTTGCAAAACCAGTGGCATTAAAATAGCCAAAATTGTTCATAGGTTCTGTCTTTACGACTGTGAGTGTCTTGTCTTTTAAAATGCTTCTTAGTCTATTGATTTCCTGTTTATATTTTTCCTCTTTTTGAAATGTTTTTCTTTTCAGGCTGAAAGCTTCTACAAGTGGAGAACCATGCTTCAGATACTACAATCCGATGGACATCCCAAGAGTCCTGAAAGCACTTTCTATATCCTTGCAACACAGATCATTGTACTCAGAGATTTGCAAGGCAATTGCACATCATTGGAACATTCCCCAAAGTGCATCCTCACTTTTGGAAAAAATGGAAAGAGGCTTCAATATAGCTTCTGTGAAGGAAGATGCAAAATTTTCTACTCTAACTCTTCCTTGTGAGGAAAACTGTCAAGTTCCAGGCAATGTTGAGGCTGAGAATGCAGTTAGTTTAAATGGAAGAAATTCAGATATTGTAGCAGTTTCATGTCTTGATACCTCACTTGATACCTCGCTTGATGCAATGGTTCAAGCTGGTCCAAAGTACATTGTGAGTGATGGTGACCTATCGAGAACAGGAAATTGCCACCTTATGAGCATGAAGCTTGATGAGCAGATTAAACTGGAGTCTACTGAATCGGTTAACCAGCTAGCTGATCCATCCGATGTAACCCAGCAAAGCCTGATTGACAGATCAAATGCAATAGAACTTACCACATGCACATCAGCAAACAGTGCTGGCAGTCGTATTGAGAATGGAAATGGTAATTTTGTTCCAGCTTCTGTGTTTTTCCAAAGCAAGGAAGGCAATCATCCGGGCTTTGAAAAGGTTGAGAGAAATTCAACAAATAGCTGTTCTTATGTGGGAACTTTTTTCAAACCTTATGCCTACATAAATCACTACATGCATGGGGATTTTGCAGCTTCTGCTGCTGCTAATCTCAGTGTTCTTTTATCCGAGGAAAGCCGCTCAGAAATTCATAAATCAGGCAATGGCAGGAAAGTTATTTCTGACATTTTATTGCAAGCAAAAGCTTTTTCAACAGCAGCTTCTCGTTTTTTCTGGCCATGTTATGAAAGAAAGCTTGTGGAGGTGCCAAGAGAGAGGTGTGGTTGGTGTCATTCTTGCAAGCAGCCCCCCAGCAACAGAAGGGGATGCATGTTAAATTCAGCTGCCTTGACTACTACTAAAGGTGCTTTGAAGATGATCAGTGGACTCCGTCCGATTATGAATGGAGAGGGAAGTCTTTCTAGCATATCAACATACATTGTATACTTGGGGGAGATTTTATGTGGTCTTACAATTGGCCCCTTTCTGAGTGCAATTTATCGAAAACAGTGGCGTAAACAAGTAGAAGATGCTTCAACTTATGCTGCAATAAAACAGCCATTGCTTGAAGTAAGTTTATTTGATTTCATGTGCTTATGAAGTTGCCCCATCTTTTCTCCCCTTTGCGCGTGTTAAATGTCTTTGTTGTTTATCATAACGTATGTCAAACTCTTGGCTTGGTTGATCTGATCTCTTGGTTTTTATTTGCAGCTTGAGGAAAACATCCGCCTTATTGCTCTTTCTGGGGACTGGGTCAAGGCAATGGATGATTGGTTGTTTGAATCTTCAGTGACCCAAAGTTCTCCAAGTATTATTGGAACCACACAAAGACGAGGAGTGAGTGGGAAGAGACATAGAAAACATTTAGGTGTGACTGATGTTACAGCTGATAGTTGCCATGACAAAAGTTTTGTCTGGTGGCGAGGGGGAAGCTATTAAAGCTTGTATTCAACAAAGCCATTCTGCCTCAGTTAATGGTTACAAGGGCAGCTAGGCAAGGTATTTTTTTCACCATTGCTGCCCCTTCTTTCTAATAATTAATTAAACCATACCCTTTTGCCTTGTCAGCACATTTTTTATTATTGAAAGATCCACTTATACCCTAGCTGCATCAATTAATTGTTATTACAGGAGGTAATAGGAAAACTGCATATTTTGTTTGTTTCATAGGTGGTTCGAGAAAGATTTCTGGTATCCATTACACTGATGATTCGGATATTCCTAATAGAAGCAGACAATTGGTTTGGAGAGCTGCTGTTGAAAGGAGTAAGAATGCATCACAACTTGCACTTCAGGTTTGATCTGATATTCTGTTCCTTGCTTCCTTCTCTTTTGTTTGGCATATTCTGTCCAAGTCTAACAGCAATTTGTCTATAATACTTTCTACTTGTCTAACTTGTGAAAATGGTATCGGAATTACTATCAGGTTAGATACCTAGACTATCACGTGAGATGGAGTGATCTTGTTCGTCCTGAGCAGAACCTCCAGGATGGAAAAGGTTCAGAGACTGAGGCATCTGTTTTTAGAAACGCAGTCATTTGTGATAAGAAAATTGAAGAAAAGAAGATCAAGTATGGAATTGCTTTTGGGAACCAAAAGCATCTTCCTTCCCGCATCATGAAGAATATAATTGAAATTGAGAAAACGGAAGATGGAAAGGATAAGTACTGGTTTTTGGAAATGCATGTTCCTTTATATTTGATCAAAGAGTTCGAAGAAAGCGTAGATAAAGTCATTCCACCATCATCTAAGATGCCTTCAAATGAGTTATCTGTGTTGCAACGAAGACAGTTGAGAGCTTCCCGCAGGGATATATTTTTATATCTTGCCTGTAGGAGAGATAAGTTGGACAAGTGCTCTTGTGCTTCATGTCTACGTGATGTTTTAATTAGGTAATATTCTATACTTAATTCGGTTTTTTGTTTCTAAATTCACTGCAACTGTCATCTAGGGAAAGAAAAGGAAGTTCACTGCAACTTGCTTTGACATTATTTTTTTTGATGGTGTGATTTCAGGAATACGGTCACATGCAGTTCTTGCCAAGGTATGCTTATGATTAAGTTGCTATTCTTAACTGTATTGTGAAGTACTGTATTTTTATTCTAAACTTTGAAAAATGTGTTTTAAACTTAAGTTAATCAGTGCCTGTAATTGTAGAAAAAAGCAAATCTATAAATTCTTCAGGTGATCGATGGATTCAGCCTGTGTTCTAATATTTAGCTGTCTCTTTCATTTGTAACTGCTTATGTCACCCTTGATAACCTTCCATTTCAATTTAGAAAAGATCACTGTCCCTCATGGTAAAGTCAAGAGAAAAAAATGTCAAGGACCCATTGGAAAAAACTGGGATGGAGAACTTCAAACAGTGCTAAAGATCAGCTCAACATCCCTAGCATTCGAGAAAAACACAAAATGTTTGGAGTTGTTTTTGAACTGTTGAAACTTGTAACATCTTTGCTTCATGCGAGGGTACCAGATGCGTGTATTTGAGTGTACAGTGACACTTAGGATTGCCAACCTTCCTGCAAATTTTTGTTAAATGTTTAAAATGCTTGGATTGTGATATAGTTATAGCTAACCACCATCAAGTTTTTAGAAACTTGAGATTTTTAGGCTTGAATTATAAATGCTAGCATAAGTGGGTAATCAGAAGGTAAGCCTATGTTTCAATATCTTGCAGCCTTTATTCATAGCAGATTTATGGACAGACTGCAGGATGATTTGGAAGTTGCAAAAGAGATGAAGTTCATGGTTATAGTATTTTGTTCAGTGCTTTACATGGGAGCAAAGTGCTGTAGAATTCAGCAATTTTCTTCTTTGATTCCTAAACTAGTGTAAAGGTGGAAATAAGGTTTCTTTGGTTTGTTTTTTGTTTAGGATGGAAAAGATCTTAGCAGGATTGAATACAGTAATACGGGGATGAGACATGCTCCAAATTGAAAATTAAAACATGAACATAATTTTTTTATTTTTTATTTTTTTGGATAGTTTACAAACTGATAAATACGCTGTGTTGTTGGAACTTTAAGCTGCCTTTTAGATCTGCTTTTATGTTTTTCCTTGGTTATATAGGTGGTTGGAAGAGTTTGATTGTTTTGATTGTTGCACTAATGATTCCATTTTTGTGTCATATTGTGGTTAGGTTATTGTCATCAGGACTGTACTCTAAGTTCAAGAATTTATACAAATAAGGAAGCTCAGTTTTCAATCACCTGCAAGCGATGCTACGGTGCCAGAGCTGTTATTTATAATGACAAAAGTAATGAATCTCTTACCAGTCCCATGCCCCTGCAAGGGCAAGAACGTCATATGGCAGTGGCAGTCACAAAAGGCACAAGGACTAAAGTTGATAATCAACCATTAGTGTCTGTCAGAACCCAGGAGAGTTGTTCTGAAGTGCTACAACCCACTTCTGCTTCTAGTAAGGCAACAAAACTCAGAAGTAGAATCCAGGAGAGTTGTTCTGAAGTGAAACAACCCACTTCTGCTTCTAGTAAGGCAACGAAAACAAAAAGTAGAACCCGGGATATTTGTTCGGAAGTGAAGCAAGCAACATCCTCTTCTGTTAAGGCAACAAAAACTGAAAGTAGATCACGTAATTGGGGTGTCATATGGAGGAAGAAGAACATTGAAGATATGGGCATTGATTTCAGGCGTAAAAACATTCTATTAAGGGGTAGTCCAAATGGAAACTGGTTAATGCCGGAGTGTAATCTGTGCAGAAAGGGTTATAATTGTGATCTGATGTATATCCATTGTGAAACTTGCTCAAGTAAGCCTTCTGCACATTATAGGTGTCATTCCTCTTTTAAGTAGAAAAGTATGGTTGGTTTTTGTTTTATGAAATATTTGCTTTTTGTCTTCTGCAGATTGGTTTCATGCTGAAGCTGTCGAAGTTGAAGAGTTGAAACTTGCTGATGTTATAGGCTTCAAGTGCTGTAGGTGTCGCAGGATAAAATCACCAAATTGTCCTTACAAGGGTGACCATGGTGATGAGAAGGCAGAGGTTCTGAAGCCACAAAAGAGAGCATCAGAGCAAGGAATAGGAGTTGACTCTAGAACTATTGTTGAATCCAGGGACTTTGAGCCAACCACTCTAATGTTTCCTGTGGAGAATGTGTTCGTACAGGATGATGATCCTCTTCTTTTCTCTCTTTCAAGAGTTGAGCAAATTACAGAGCGGAGTCCTGGAGTGGAGTTGGAATGGAACCTTGCTGGACAAGGGCCGCAAAAGCTACCAGTCAGAAGACAAGGGAAGCGCCAAGGAGATGCTGAAGATATTTCTGGGACTAATATTTACCATGCTGATTCATCCATGTTACTTGAAACAAACAACGCCATGAACTGTGAAGGGGAGATGTCTTGTGCTGAATGGGATGTTTCTGGTGATGGCCTTGAAAGTGAAATGGTGTTTGATTATGAAGATGTAAACTATGAGGATATGGAGTTTGAGCCACAGACGTATTTCTCTTTTACGGAGTTGCTGGCATCTGATGACGGTGCCCAGTTGGATGGATTTGATGCCACTGGCAAAGGTTTGGGAAATTGTGAGAATCAGTTTCATGCAGTTTCAGAGGACGAGTGCCGAAAGCAACATGCAACGGGTACATCTTGTGATGAGTCTCTGGAACCTAATCCTAACACAATGCCTTGTAAGATGTGTTCTGACTTGGTGCCATCTCCTGATCTTTCTTGTAACATCTGTGGCTTAGTTTTACACAGCCATTGTTCTCCTTGGGTTGAGTCTTCACCTCGAGAAGGCAGCTGGAGGTGTGGTAATTGCCGAGAGTGGCGCTAGCAGGCTTTGTTCTCACAAACTTTTGTTTTTTTGTCATGCGGGGATTCTTCAGAGTTCTTTTGGATGGAGTTGTAAATTAAACAGCAGTTGAAAAATCCCCGATGAATCAGGCTTGCGCTGAGGTTGTGCTTTATTAAGTCGATGATGAACCCTTTCTAGCACTGGATGTTTTGGTACTTGGTAAACATGATGCTTCATCGCAAGTTCCCTCCCAATTAATCATTCGGGTTCAGAAGTTTAAAAGATCCATTTTTTTTTTCTTTTTCCAGAATTAGCTGGGATAATATGCCAACCTAGGATTCTCTATTTGGGCACTAATCATACTTGGGGAGTGAATTACTTCACAAGCTTAAAATATTTTCCCTGATTGGAAGAGATAAGCAATTCTTTTTTTCTTCTGCTTATCTGATTACATTGCGTGTATAAATCAAAGTTACAATCACAAGTTTTCTTGATCTAGCTATTTTGTTTTTCCTTCTTGAAGATTGATCAAGAACTGGCTTTTCAACTTCGCGTAGGATTGACTTCTGGTTTTCCTTTGGGGTTACAGGTATTTGATTAACTATATCTGAACCTAGTGTGATCCAGAACATCGAAAAAAAATCAACCTATCTCAACTCTCCAAGGATCCTAGTATATCTTATTTTATCTTTTCTATTAGGGTTTGGTCAGGTAATACTTAGTGGATTCTGTAAAATTGCCATACATCAGTCATTATCCTTTGTAAAAATGGCAAGTTCATCATCCCCTTAAAACCCAAATTACAGATGATAATTCTGTAGCTAAAGCATCAGTGGTTTTCTTTTTGAAAATAGCAACAGTTTCAGTAGTTAGCTACGGTACCTCTGTAACAATGGGGGTCTACACAACATTAATTTGGCAGGAATTTTTCACATGGCATTACTAGGTGTGGCAAGTTGGTTTAGCATTTTTTTTGACACAGTAAGAGTTGTAAATATTTTCTCACTAATAATGAAGCGCATTCTGCTTCATAGCCCTATCATGCAAAAAAGAATGACTCATTACAAGCACCAGCCCCAGAACATGAACAAGAAACTATCTTTCACTGTCCAAGGTGACTAATCAATCAAATTACGAATCCATTATCTATTGTTTAGAAAATTTTGCTAATTCAACTGTCAATAACTTGGATCACAGAACATGAAACAAAATGGTAATATAGTGCCAAAATATTGAAAATCTGAAACAATTATGAGTAGGTAAAAATCAACTTTTAAAACATGGTAAGAAAAATTCTGATGACCCAAAAAAAAAAAAAAAGAAAAAAATCCCCACAATAGTTGTACGTCTACAAAAATTTGCCAATTATTTAGAAAATATGTCAATTCAAATGTCAACTACTTAGATAATAGAACATGAAAAGGGGTTAATATAGTGTCCAAATCAAGAAGTAATCACCATTTATAAGCTAAACCATGTAGTGAAACGCAGTTGAAATCTGAAACAATCATGAATTAGTAATATTAACTTTTAAAACAGTATAGACTACAGAAAAAACCCGTAGGAGTTGTATCTCTATAAAAATTTGCGGTCAGCAATTACTTATCAGCCTAAAAAATATAACGTAAAAATGCCTTGAAAATCAGAGTAATTTTCAGCGGCACTCAGCAAATATTTGCCCTCAAATGAGCTGCTCTATGGCTGGGCTGGCTGCTTCCATACATGATTAGTTCCCATATCAGCTAGGCTTGAAGGAAATGTATCAGCCAGCGTAGGTCTATAATCAAACCATCCCACTTCCTCATCAGGTATATTCCAGAACTGTTCAAGTGAATCTATTTCAACCTCTTCTATCTCATGCATCAAATCAAACAAAACCTCACTAACCCCACTCCATGATTGTGTTTCTCCTACAAGTTTGTCAACCCCATGCTGCTCCTCACAATCAATCCCCTTTACAGTCTCCTCGCAATTAGTACTTGGGTAGTATTGGTGATGGTGTTTGGCTCCCGTATTTTAAGCACCCATGAACACCAGAGAGTTCTTCTTTAGCTGCATAAGAGATAATTACATTATTTTCAGTCGTGGTAGCCTTCTCAGATTGCTCCAAGAACCCCCAAACCTCATCAGCCACATCATCTCTAGTCAATTCTATAATAATAGGATCTGCAGCTATTAATTCAGAGTTAGCCCAATGAGATTTTGAAACCCCAAATTCAGGGGCATCATTATCAGAAGATTTTGGCTTCTTTGATCTTGGATTTTTTTTCACTAATCACTACTAGTTGCTATTGATTTCCTCTTCTTATTATTATATTTTGGAAGACCGGATGCAGTCTCAGATTCTGACAATTTCTTGTCCTTATCCTTCACTTTTAATTGACCTAACACGTAATCTGTTGAATGTCCCAAGAGATTGAACTGAAAAATTATCCACTTTCCACAATGAGAGGATTTCGGGTTCTTATAGGTAAATCTTTTCTTCAACCCCATAGACAGTTCTGTATCAGCGGTTTTAATCAAAGCACCAACGTCCTCCTGATGCCATGTTCCACCATCAAAAGACCTAGAAAATCTCGAATCCTTGCCACTCCTCTTTCTCAGTTGGGTAAAGAAAAACAGACCCTAATCCTTATCCAACTCAGAAACCAACTTGTTTCCACCAAACATGTCCTAGATCTCTCAGCGATGCTTACTATAAAGATCAAAATCATTAACAGCAAAAGTACAGGAGAAATGCTCATTTTTGACTTTCTTGTCAAGATAATGAATGATCAGCGCTTAATTGAGTCAAAGAAAGAACGAAATTGTTAGTAATTGAGGATGAGTGAGTCAAAGAAAGAGACAGTTAGTGAGAAAACATCCTAATACCTATATAATGTTTTCCAGACAAAACAATCAACTCATTCATGGAAATACATAGTAGTATAATTATTATTATAAAGTCTTCTTCCTCATTATTCTTAAGGAAAAATGTTGATTTCTAGCTGAGTACTTTTGCCCCAATGATTGAATGAGAAACCAAAATTTTTTTGGCTGATTCCTTAAGAAAACGTGATTTTCTGCTTCCAATTGAGCCCTACCAACCATTTTCTAAAAATTTGAAGATTTTACATGTTAGATTTTAATTATGGTAATGAATCGTAAATTACTCCCCTCACCCTATTGTGTTTGGGTGGGGCAATTTTTGGATTTCGTATGGAAAAAAGAAGACTAAATAATAATTTAGTGTAACTTGTTTTAAAAATTGGTTATTTAGTCATTTGATCAGTGTTGAGTGTTAAGTACGTTTAATTTAAAATTATTTTATTCATAAAAATATTTTATTTTTTCATCAATTTTTATATATTTTTTACTTTTTTTTTCTTTTTCTATTTAGCAAAACAAAAAAATCAAAATAAATAGAAGAAGAATGAAAATGCTTAAGTTACATTTTTTTTAAAAAAATATAAAGATTATATAATTAAATTTTAAAATATAAGGGACTTATCAATTCATTTCTCAAAGCTAGAAGGACTAATTCATAATTTATTCAAAGGGAAAGGGAGCAATGTTTTTTTTTAATAATAATAATAGTCACTGAAAGGCGGGAAACATCTTTTTTCTTTATTTGAAAAGATGTAATCAATACAGGGCTACAGCCCAGAATAGAACATAACATAGTAACTACAGGCCGAATTAGCCGAAAGCCCAGCCCAGCCCAGCCCAGCCCAAACAATATGAAATCGGCCACATTACGTAAAGAGATTAGCCACTTCTTTCTCGAGGAGACGAAAAACAATAACTGCCAGCGGTTAGTTAACCATTCCTTTTCTTTTATAAACAAGGCTATATTATATGGAGTACATTTAAATTTCACTTTTCCAGGGCCACTGCCTCTTAGTTACACATCCACCAGTTGAACGAAGAAAGAACCTAAGAAAGCAAGATCAAGTAACGGTAGAGTTACTATGCCTACCATGGATTGGATGGACATGCACAGGAGTACAAATCTGACGAACAACCATACAACTACACAAATTCTAAATAAAAATTAGAAAAATAAAGTGTGGAATTCGGAGTTTGCACCTGTAACTCTTCTCGAAAATATAATTATGCATTGTCAATCAGATACAAACTATTACAATTGATTCTACTTAATGTAAATATCTTACAATGCAAATTTTGTGCTACAGAAACCAATCCAGTAAAACTGGGAAGAGAAGAGAAGAGAAGAGAGAAGTGAAATTTTTTTCAAGGAAAAATAGAAAACAAAGAAACCCTCACCCCAAATGAGATTTTAGAAATAAAAGGGAAAAAAAAAAAAAAAAACCTCACTAAGCACATTACAATAGTGCAAAAGAATCTCAAAATCCCAACCATCCCCTAGAAATTCAATTTGAATACTTATGCCGATCGCAAATAAGCTCACCCTGGATTCCGCCAGCCCTTGCTCGTGAATTCCCTGATCCACCTCTTGAGGACAGATGGGTGGACCAACTGTATAAATCAATTTTACAAGTGTATATTGAACAAATCTTCTCACATCAATCACCTCAATGTTACAGCAAACCAGCCAGAAGAGCCCCGGGATCTGTAAAAGCAGCAGGATTGGTTGGTTGCGCTACTGGAGCTGCTGATGATGCAGGTGGGGGTGGACGAGATGCTTGAGGAATACTGACTAATTGTTCTTTGATGAACTCCTTCAGCCTGCACAAGGAAAAGGTAGAGAAATGTATGCTGTGTTAAAGTGTGGGTTGAGAAACTTGTAGTACAAGACTTGGGCATCAAATACATACTCAAATGTTAGTGTTGGGTCCCCTGAGGCAACTGTCATCCGCAACTGTGTTCGATCTGCAGGATCTGTTTCAATTCTAACCTGAAATATTACATTCAAAGAGGCTGTCAAAGGGCTTTCATCCCTGAAAGATTAATTGAAATTTAAACAACATCAGCATTGCAAACTAACAAGAAGGAACCTATTGTGAGAGGGAAAGGAGCTAGTTACAAATACATATACAAAGCAAATTGCTCATTCTATGACAGCAGTAGAATACAAAACCATTTATTTAGCCCAAATAAACAAAGATGGAAAAATAAATTTCCTTACCAAGCAAAGCATGGGCCGTGTACTCTCTGAGTAGAAGGTCGTACTTGCAACCAGGTTATTGGGGTTTGGATCCTAAAACAGAAAATAGAACAGTGAACAACTCATAATGTAACTCAAAATGAGGGTATTGGACAATAAGAGAAAAGAATCACTTACAAGCCCTGGACAAACTGTCAACCGAAAGCTGATAAATAGGTTTGCCATGTCAATGAGAGACAATGGTCTTACTCCTCTAACCTGTGCCATTAGAAGGATAATGATACAAGATGATGATGTTAGTCAACGGAAAGGGATCAGAAATAGCAACATAATAAATGGCAATAGAACTTGCAACAGGCCATATTAATGAGTCCAAAAAGCCAAAAATTGACAATTTAGATTTTAGACATCCTAGAAAAACATGAATGAGAACGTCAGTTACATCCTCTAAAGGAAGAGACTGACCATTTACAAATAGATGCAGCCAAGGAAGAAGAATTTATAAATTATTTTAATTTAACTTTAGATTTTGAGATTTCTGTAAACCTAATCTATTAGGGTTTTTTTTTTTTTTTTACTTGGGAATGTCAATAGCACACTATATGGGAATTTTAGCTTATTAGGTGGACTTGAATAATGAAATTATAACTATTTTTTCATTTAGTTAGAGTGCTGTGGCATTGAGTATTCTCCTTTCTTTTTCTCCAAGTGCTTCTAATTTTCTTTCTTGTAGGTCACCTATCCACGGGTACAAGCCCTAAATTTCACCTAAAGTCCTTAATTCTCGAAATCTAGCTCATCACAAAATCTTTGTTGGACAGACATCCAAATTTGTCGTACATCACATATCCTTCCTAACATGAATGAGAAAGCATGTGCGTACTGCTTTAAGGGCAGTTGTGATCAGTTAAGACAGCACTGGAACAGTGTGACAAACACAAGTGATAACACATGCACAAAAATAAATAACAGGAAAGCCTATCAAAAGATCAAATGCTGCAAGACTTTAAAAGGCTGCTCTACCAACTCGGTCACATAAAAGGCAGCTATATCCATCACCATGAATCAGACCAAAGGAAATTGTGACGAAATAGCAACTGAAAGGGAAAAAGAATTTTTCTACTCTAACAAAAAATCATACTTGTCTTGAACGGAAAGGCAAAATATACATACAACTTCTTGAAGCTTCAGTGGTGGTCCTGAAAGTGATCTCCATTGAGGGAAAAACTCTTCAGTTGACACTGTAATAGGCTGAAGAAATTTGTTCAGAAGAGCTGGAAGGCGAAGCTTGACATTGGCCTACAAAAAAGTCCAAATATTAGATAATAGTAACGATGAACATAGCTGGCTATTTCAAAGATTAGCAATGCAGAACACATTTCACATGTTATGTACCATGCTGGTACCGGACTTGTATGAAAAGTCGAGAACAGCAACATCCCTGCTTGGGTGGAGATTCATTACTTCAAGCGGGCATTGCACCTATACAACCAAGAGAAAGTAGTAAATAATAACAGACAATTAAAGAATAATAAGGATGAAAAAGGTGCCATATAATGACCAACAGCAATCAACAATTACAATCATTTTACCTGTGCCCGTGGAGGAATAGTTTCAGGTACTAATGAGAGTTCAATTTTTAAATGGGCAGGGGGCAATATCAGTGCCTGAACAGAAACAAGTGGAGAAGTGTTTTTGTTTCCCAAGAAAAGGACAAGACGTCCATGCTGAGCTCGCCACTCTGCTTTAATACCAATCTGCAAAATATTTGATGCTGAAATCAGGAAAGATTGTAGAAGCTTTCAAAAAATTGTAAGGTCAACTCTAAATGCATAAAAGGGAAGTGGCTTAAACATGTAAACAAGAAAATTAATCATTTGGCCAAAGAAATTCATACCTGAATGTTTGGATCCTCATATAACACACCACTGTCCTTCAAGCATAAAGCATAAAATCTTTCATTGATATTTCCAATTGGCTGCAATCATCATGAACAAACCAAGCTCATCAGAAGCAAAGATCAAAATGCTATAGAAGTTATGTTTGATCTGCAACGCTTAACAGCTAAGTTATGCTAAACCAAGATAGAACTGAATTGCATTGTACATTAAAAAGCAAGCAAATTCATCATTTCACCCAATTAAAAGCACAAACTAAATCTGAAGTGTTAAAAAACCTTCAAATTTCACATTCTAAATCGACTATAGACTAAATATACAATAACACTATAACAGAACTACTTACCTGCACAGAATTAGTTTCCTCTCCTACAGGTACAATAGCTGTATCATCCGCTGAACTTGGAACACCTTCCAGTCCAGAATTTACATTTGGCTCAGATTGGACAGCAGCTCCAGGAGGGCCTTCAATAGCCAGCGGACCCAAGAGATCACCTAAAATATCTGCTGAAGGAGGTTGAGGATCTACTGTAGTTAAAGTCCCATTTTCCTGGGACAATCCTTGATCTGCTGAAATATGCTCCTGTTAAGAGGAACAAAAAGTAGATTCCCCAATGCAAATCAGAAATCGTTTATACATTCTTCCAAGGCAAAATTCCAGGATTCATAAATACTAGACAAGAACTACCCACATCTCTAATTGTGCTGGGAATCTTTACTAGACCAAGCTGGCCAACAGATTGAGGAGTCCCATTCGAAGCGTATTGGTCTGTAACAACTAATGCACTAGACATCTGTTGCTGTGCTCGCAGCTTAATAGCACTTTGCTCTGCAGAATCTACTTCAGCAACCTCAGCTTTTTTAATCAATGCAGACTGAAATTCAGAACGAAAAATAGTTAATTCCAATAGCATGCAACTGAATCCCTTAATCACAACCATTGATGAATTTACAGATGGAAACCTAGAAAAATTTCTTTATTTGGAACAATTGTTGTTGAGTAAACACAAATACCTGACGCTCAGGGAATTTAGGCATTTCGGCCAATATGTCAATTAGAGCTGCACCTTTCCTACTTAATGCAAAATACTCAACTGCTCGCTGTTGTATCTCAACATCAATGCAACTCTCATATCTATGACAGTACAAAACAGTGTTAAGGTGGTTCGCATAATAACCAACGGATACCAATTTAACACAGAGGATGAGCGGAGCAAGGTAAATCTTACTTGCTAAATATTGCCCAGACAAGTTTCTGTAGTTCTGGATCTGGGGGTTGAGTATGCATTAAGATCTTTGCATATGTGGAAAGCAGAATTGGAATGGTAGTAGTTCTGCAGACACATTCATTTCTCTAACATATAAATGATTAAATGAAAAAACAAAAACACAAGTTCGACAAAAATGATGGGGAAAGGTTAAGTGTTCTTACGATACAGTAGGAAGCTTCTCATGTATGACGCTAAATATTTCCTTCGGACTACACCCAGGCCGTCTGGCCAAAAGGTGGCTGTACTCTCCAAGGAGATATGCACTGACCTGTTACACCCACATACCAACACGAAGTCAGACATCTCTATTCAACACCTCCTTCTTTCTTTTCTGTATCAGCGTAATTTACATACTAGTAATAGTGCCCAAAGGAGTTAGCAGAGAACTACATACCTTGACCATTGTCTCATGTATGGCAGGCTTGTCAAGATACTCTCTGGCTTTTGCTGCTGCATAAGGCTGCTCAAATGTTCCAAGACTCAGTTGAAAATCGCTAGATTAAGGTCTCTATTATAAACAAGATTCATTATGCTCAAGTCACATGTATTTTAATTACCTGTAGGTCTTCATTGTTTGTAACAAACTGCACAACACGAAACCATATATCATCACTGACAAAATCTCCTGCCTTGTCAATCAACTGAAGGATCACATCCACATACCTGCGTTCAAGATAAATAAATAAAATACACATTAATAAATTGATATTTGGTTGTTTCAAATTAATAATGGAGTAAACAAATTATCTAGCAATGCTAAAGAGGCAGTGACAAATCAAATGGTTGAGCCATGAGCTTGAGCTACTCCAACAGTTTCACCAGCACTGAAATTCTTACAACTAAATACTATTATAAAGCAGAAAAGATGTCTAGCAGAAGGTAGATTTATTAGTTTGCCACCGAAACACCATACAAGAAGCATGCGATTAACAAGCATTATAAGAAATTTCACATCCTTTAATGCAGTTGCTAACCAGAGAGATCTGTCTTTCCAAGTCTGAAGTTATAACACCAGAAATCATATTGTGACATCTTATTTAGTGCCAAATGCCAATATGTTTATGACATAAATTGAACGCTTGTCCACTCATATTTCCTCTAACCTATATCCAAATGATAGAGATTATGCTTTCAGTACTGCCATGCCCAACATTTCAGGGAAAAGATCCTTACCAAGACAAATCAGGGGCAAACTTTTCTGCAAGAATAGCTGCTTTTAGAGACAACTCCTCGCGCATTGCAAAATCTGCTGTGCTAAGATACTGACCATCAGATAAAGTCAGTGCACATTCTCAGTGCCCTAGGTAGATCAATAAGGAATTCTAAAGGAACTGTGAACTAGATTCGCATCAAAATGTTAGTCCACAGATTCAATGTGTTTATTTATACCTGCAACAGTTCTTCCACTATATCCTTAGCATTTGAAACGTCACACATACCATAGAGTAAATCAAGAGCACGCCGACGGATACTGGAGGGAAAATTTGAAGTCAGCTAAAGTAAATCTGAACAATATATTTTATATAAACTTTAAAAAGAAAACTTGGCATTTAGGTGAGCATTTGATAGTTTTATCCTCATAAACATGTGATATTCAATACACTGCGCATACATCTGATCCACATTTGGTGGCTAAGATGCCCTCCTCTTTATAATCATTGACATGAAATACTCAAAAAGGAGACAGAAGAAAATACAGCACTCATATGCATCAGAAACAACATCAAGAAATAGAAACCTTCCACAAAATGCAACACACTCAAATTTAACCTGATGTCCGGATCTTTCAACGATGTGATGATCTGTGCCTGATGTCTTTTAATGATATCTTGCACATCCGTAACCATCAACATCCGAGTCATATTCTCCTGCAGCAGAGCAACAATGCAATGTAATATTCAATCATGCAGTTATATGATAGTAATTAGATTTACCCACCAAAGTTTAGAATCGATCCATTTTGGTAAAAGTTTTGTTGAATTTCTAAATTAAAATAAATAAATAAATAAATAAAGTTATTGTCTCTATGACTTACCAAACCAAGATATCGGATATTTGGTTCACGAACGGCAATAAATTTGCCAAGGAGGGCAACACACTGAGACATCATCTCTTTTTCAGCATCAAGATGCATTACCTGTGAAAGGACAATTAAGATCCAGAAAGCACAACCAATAGGCTTGAAACTCATAGGTACTCTTGCAAAGTAAGAAGCGTGAGAACTCATGTTCAAGTCCCACCTTTGTCAATCTATCATTCATCTCAGTAAATAAAGCACAACACCAGGTCCCTCAAAATACTCAATAACTATAATTTAACTTCTCAAACCATCTATTTATTGAAAGAGAGGGCAGGAACCAAATCACATGCATTTCCAACCACAGTATAGCCTCAAAATGTCACCCAATGCCAAGAGCTTAAATGGCAATGTGGGCACCACAACTCATCAACCTGAAGGAAGGGCTTTTCCTTCAAAATCCTGTCTTTTCTTTAATCACATGCTCATGAGGTGCTAGCATCCACATAAAACATAAGCAGTAATAATACTTGCATTAAGGAACAATCTTGTCTCATTTTCCCTTGAACACCCAAAATTCCCTTTTCAGAAAAATGAAATGATGCTTACTGAGCATCCAAATGAAAACTTTTATAATGTCCTTTCTTTTTTTCTGCATATGGATAGTTTCAGCAAACTCTGACAAAGTACTGCTATTTCCATAATACACAACCACATGCACATGCTTGTCACTATCAACACAGTAAATAATATCAACAAACAAAATCTAAGCTATTCCGTATAACACACTGATGAACCAACATGCCTAATTGAGCAGTAAACTTACAAGAGCGAGGGCTTCAAAGAGAACAGCATGTGATGCATTGTTCTTATTTACATTTTTTACAACATCAGTTCCCATTAGTATCCGCTGTAAGACCTGAGATCACAAATTCGATTTTATTAGAAACATAAATTGTAATGAAAATGTCAAATAAATTATTCAAAAATAGCCAGACCTCAAACAAGGATCTTCTAGTATTAGGATCTTCAACAGTTGGAAAGTACTGAAGAACCCTCATTGTCTTAACCTGTGTAGAATCATTAACATGAACTTGTCAACTATCAATGGAGAAATTGCTGATTACTAAAATTCAAGAAATTTAAGCATTACTGCTTAACAGGAAAATTGAGTAGACTAGATCATAGGTAATCAACTTCTCTATGGATAACATTTTTTTTCAAAAGAGAGAGAGAGCACAGCAAAAGAAAAACATATATATATACTGACCTGAAGCCAAGGAGATGGGATACCATAATAAGTGTATTCTTGGGGAATATCCTGGTTCCTAGCAAGTCGCTCCAATGTCTTAACACACTTTGGTAGACAACTCCAATATGCTTCATGGTTATTTGACACTAAAGCAACAAGAAGGCTCATAGAAGACGTCAAAACACCAAGATCACGTTCATCTAACAGTTGTGCCATCCGATCCGCCCTAAGGCATTTTGAAAAAGGGAGAACTTTATTTGGCAGAGATATAAGGTAATTTTGTATAATAGCTTAATGGGTAGCCTGCAAAAGCATACCAGCCATCTACATTGACGACATCTGGATTTTTTCTGTACAAGCGCAGCAAACATAATGCAGCCTTCTTTCTCACAAGTGGTCTGCAGCTACTAGAAATCTAAAACAAAAAGAATTGGAGATGGTCAGTTTTCAAATTATGCCAGTCAAGCTCACAATTTTTTTCCGTCTCTTACAAGTAACTTTTGAACATCTGGTGCCAATGATTCAGCAAATTCTCTCCCACCAATATTTCCAACCTACAAAGATCAAATAGAAATCATACTATTGGAGTCTAAAAGTTGTGAAATCATATACATGTTGTAGAGCGAGACAGAGAAAGGAAAGAGGGAGAGACACTAAAGAGAAAACAAAAGAAACAGATAAAGGTACTTTTCTGAATCATCTTAATAACATGATCGTGTAGTCTAGAAACTAGAAATGGTCTTCCGTTACCATACCATAGTCAAAGCCAGGCACTGAAAAGTTTCATTCCGACCAATAATATCATTGCGCACTGTATTTATTGCTAATCTGAGAAAATCGTGGTTCTCATTGAGCAAAGATGATGTAACTATGTATCCAACCTGCAGGCATTCACAGAAAAGTAAATGTCAATTGAAAAGTAATGTCACTTCAGAATATAAAGGCAACAGAAACAAAAGTGCATCTAAACTTAAGCTGATCACATCATGGAAAGTATAGCTTTAGAGGAACACGTGACATTTATTTAAGAAAATACATCAAACATATCATCACTGAGGATCTTGAAGGCCTCCACTAGGCCCTATACAAAATTTAGAAGGTATAATAATATTGCTTTCTTTACCACGTTATTGGTGCCTATCGATTGTACAAGTAGAAAAGATTTTCAGAATTGAAGTGCATCCCTTGGATTATGGAAAAACAAGGCAGTGTAACCATTGCTTTCAAAATTTCAACTTATACAAGCTGATGACCATTAGAAATCCTGAAATGTGAAGACAGAATTTACCTGCTTTTCAGGGTACTTTGGTGCGGATATTAAAGAAACAGCTTCCATGTGACCAAAATCTACATCATATCCTAGCATGTAAATGTACAGCATTTTCCAAACATATTTCTTCTTTTCATAAGGAGTCAAACCCTGCCAAAAGAAACAAAAATATCCATAGATAACAGATCTCTCGACATATACAATGCTGCAAGTGTTGCCTGATACAGATACAAGCGAGAAACACATGCATAAATGTTTACATGAGCTAGGAAACAATTTCATTATCCCCTGACATTGTATTTTTCTGATTGAGTGCCACTTTAATAAAATTGCTTAGAACTCTCAGGTAGATATTAAGAACAAACGTCGAGTGAGGTAGATTAAGGCACAAGATGAAGCAAAAACCAGTCTCTAAGAAAGTAGAAAGCCAAACTTCAAAAATATTTTTTGATGCCTAAAAGGTTCCCCTACAATTCTAGATTTCTTAAATCTGGCATTTTAAATTTCTGAATCAAAAGATGGCCAGTCAAAGTATATCACAGGATGAAATTATCACTGCCTGAAAACATCTTTGAACCTCAGAAGTCCATCGCAAGCCTTGTTTTTAGCAAATTACAAGTATGTACTTTTTTCTCCTAGTGAATGAACCTAAACCCTCTAGTAAGAAAAATTAACCTTTCTCTTCTCGAGAAATTATTAGGTGCATCTAGTTCACCACTTGAGATTATGGGCCAATAAATCCTATTTAGTGATATTAGGAGGCTCAATCGTTTTTCTCTCCTCTTAATATAAATATTTCTTTTCTTTGTAAACATGGTTATTGTTTGTTCATGGTAAAGTTGACGGTGTAGATACATAGAAAAATATATCATTCTACAATTGGTTGGTCCATAATCTAAAATTTTGCATCCAGTACATTGGAAAAACATTGAAAAAGTTCTTAAATCTATATAAATGTTAGGGTATTAACTTATTTCCTTCAGTCGATGTCACATCCATGCCATCCCAAAAAGCTCCACCTCTGAAACTAAGATGCATTTCCCTTCTTACATACGAAAGTTATCCACACAACCTTCCTATTCTAGGTCTTATTGAACTCAACATCATTCGATCATATGTATTTAAATGCAATGAAAAGAAATGTCTCTCAGTGGCATCATCAGTACACGTCTACAGCAAGAGCAAACATTAAAAAACACTTAAGTAAAAAGGCTCTAGCCTGATTCCTAATTTTTCTTTCTTTGGCCCAATCTGACTCATCATCGAACCGTTGAGAATCACTCATTCTAACCTAAATCAGCCTCATCGTGATTCTACTTCTAAACTTAAAACCATACATCTCCACACCTAGTAATCCACAGCTCACTAGAAAGAACTAACGCCAAGAATAGAAACATTATTTTAGATAGCAGAAACCTAAAAGCAGCTCAATTTCAATGCCATTCACTAGCATGAGCTCACTCAAAACGAACTCCTCACTTTCACAGCCCCAAATATTTATGCTATGAATAATGCTAATCTTACCGATTTTTTTTCCCGAATTCAGTCTCAACCATTGGATTTACAAAACCCATCAGTGGGGTCCAGTCAACCTACAGATTCAGCTAGTCTTCGAGAAGTAATTTTTATGTAATATTAGCATTATTACTCTAATGCAAATTAGCTCAGTTAAACATCAAAATTTCAAACAAAAAATCACAAATTATTAAAAAAATGAAAAAAAATCCATTCTTATAATTTCCTGACGATGAAATAAAAAAGAAATTGAAGCAATAAGAGCTAAATTAAATCCTTCAAAAGAATTGATAAAACCCTAACCTTTTCGTTTTTGAAGCGAGTACGGATATTGCCAAGCTCTTTATCAACGCGAAGTCTTTCTTGCTCTTTGTTTTGACAATTTCGAATATCGCTTATAAAGACAGAGAGTCCTCTCATGCCTGATAACGCCATTCCCCTCTCAGATCCAATAATTAGAGAGGGCTGATTAATTAATAATTAATTTAATTAATCACCAATATTTTTCAAAATCGTGTTTCTCTTGGAAATAAGAACGATGGTGAGATCTAGGATAATGAGATCTTGAAGGAATGGAGATCTGCGTGTGATTTTGAAGCATATATGGTGAGGAAGAGAGGGAGATTTGATGGGATGATCGAGAGACAGAGAGAGGGAGAAACAGAAGCGAAAATTTATTGTGTTTTGTGTTGTGTTTTTCTTTTTTTCCTAGAGAGAGAGAGAGAGAGAGGTTGGACTTAGGAAATTTGGAAACGCCGTCGAGTTGGTGCGGGAGACGACTTTTATTTACCGTAATTTAATTTAACCCCTCATCAGTCCAATCCCATGCTTAGTTTGTTTCTTTTGATGTTGTTTCATTTTCATCTCATTTTCCACCTATTCAAATATCTAGATAGGGTGAAAACTAATTATTTTCGAAACAGTTTTCGAGTATGGAAATTACATTTTTTTTCTTCAGATTTTCGACAAGTCATCTTCAGTCAGACTAATGTTTTAATGAATTTTTTTTCTCACAATATTTTTGGAGTTTCAAATTGAGATAATAAAGTGAGACGCTGAACAAACTTTTTATAATAAGTTCTCAAGCAAAGGTTGAGATGTGTTTTTTGTAAATTTAACTCTCTTTTCTTATAGTATAAATTGAACTTTTCGATTTTTTTTTTAATTAGGAGGTTTATAAAAACTTGATTACACAAGTACTTAATTATTTTCATATGAGATGAATTTGATTTCAAATTGTTTAGTAAAATAAAAAAAACAATTATATCAGTCTAATAAATTAGTTGACGGGCACGTACTTTGAGTTCATCCTTTTTTCCAGTTCAAGGGCAATTACGAGTTGCCCCTCGTTGATGAGCTTGAGTCAAGAAGAAATTGTATAAATCAAAAAGTTCATATGGACTTTGCGTTTCAGAGAATGAGCACTGGGATGTTTGAATTTTAAGATCTTACTGTGTTACAGTTGTCAAATTGAAACACGAGTCAAAATATACATAGAAAAAAGAGAAGGCTTCTGTTGATCCCATGGTAGGTAGGTGCTATTATTACTTTGCTTCAAGAGATGAACGGAAGCATGGGGTCCTTTAATGACTTCAGTATTTAACTAAACCTTATATTCAAGCGCCTTTTTGTCAGAAGAGTTCTTCAGCAGCAAAAGCCACATGACTAAGTTTCTACAGGCTACAGCCACGAAAAGGAATGATCATGAAAACAGAGCTACAGATTTTGTCTGGCTTCTACTTGGAAGCAAGAATATGAATCCACTCCAAATGCAGTAGTTTAATAGTAATCAGAAATGACTAGATTATAGAGATCAATGGAAGCAAATCAAATCAATAGGCAAAAAGAAGCAAGAAGATCAAACCTCCATTAACACAATATGTGCCTTCCAGAAAAACTGAACCTCTATTTTTACCTAAACTGAACCATTCCACCAAGCAATTAGCTTGTAAAAATAAAGCCAAACAAAAACAGAAGGCTTTTGTCATAGAAAGCTAATGCCAAGTTTAACCAGTGGCCACAATCCTACCCTCTCTAAATCTCTCTCAGTCTTGAGTGTCCTTTTCTAATGGGGGAAAGAGGGGGCATTCCACAGGAAGATAATGTCTGAGACATGACATGACATGACTCCAGCTATTGCACCCCACTCAATTTTGCCCAATCTACGAACTGCATACCACCATAAATATTGTTGGCAAATCGCACACCAACGGTGAAAGCCATTGCAACTGTCGGGACCTGTTTTGCCAGAGGTGATGCTTCAACCAGGTGCTCCAGTCCATTGATAATTTGGTAACGAGTGTTAGAAGATACAGCAAGAAACACACCTGATCAACAAGACAAATTATAAACAGAAAGGTGTTGGGGGTAAATTAAAAAAAATACACATCATATAAATATATTATCAACATGCTGATTGAAGGACAAAAGGTTCAGCCAAAATATACACTGAAAACAAAATTCTCATATAATCCTAATGAATTAATGAAATTATTGCTTGAAAAAAATAAAATAAAAACAAAACGAAATTTGAAATGTTGAAGTATCTACGCAAACCTCAGTTCAGCTAATTCAGAAACCAATAGCAAAAATGGAATGACAAACAAATTTGGTACTGAGAAATTGCAATTGGTACCGAATTAGAAACAGAAGGTTGGAAAGACATTGTGTATATACGTACCCCAAAGAGCTGCACTTTGCACAAGTGGGGGAACAGGGATGTCTTCTTCTGATTTTTTTAAGCTTCTGATGATAGAGAAAAACAAAACAAAATAATTAGCTTTTCATCTTCAAGGGAACAAATATCACCTTCAGTAAAAAAAGCCACCACTGTCATAGAACATTGGTTTTTTGGTAAGACAGATTAAAATAGAACTCTTAAGCCAAATTGCTCATGTATAGCATTCTTGAATGGTTTAGAAGTCAGAACTCAAGGATACATTTTGTATAAAAAAAAAGACTCAAAGGATATATTCATAACAGCACAAAATTCGATTAGGAGCAACAATGAAACAGGACAAGAGAGAGAGAGAGATCATGAAGATAAAAAGGTATACCGTTTCGCAGTCATTATCAGATTAGCAATGCCTTGGCCAATGAGTCCACATCCAAACCCTACGGAACCATATAATACACCCTGAATACAGAATGTTCCAATAAAATACATCAGAAACAGAAGAAAGTAACAGTAAAACTACCACTAGAAGCATAGAGAACCAGGACCAAGAATGCAAATTGTGTTCAAACACGGTTCCAAAAAAAAGAATCATGAAATAAGATATCAATGAGAACTAAGATGCACCATCCCTTCGTGGTGCCAGTTTTGATTATTTCTGAACAACATGCAACCATATTTGGATCCCATGTGGTACCTTATAAAAGTAGGTAGCAATGCGCTGTTTCACAGAGAATTTGCATCCTGGCCTTTCAGCTTCAAAAACACTGCAAAAGAAAGAGGCTTTGTGAATGAAGCAAGAAACCAACAGTATATTCTCCAAAATTGAGAATCTGCAAGAAGAGAGTGTGAATGGAAAAGGAAATCAGCAGGGAACAACATGGCACCCTTGGATGGAAATGCCTCTTATCACATTTATATAGTCACCATTACTTTTATTTCAGTATCAAGTAGGTCAAATCCTAGAACTGCTAAATGAAGACCTAAAGGTTGCCATTAGTTCTCGTCCAACCAAAGTAGCATGGCCAATAAAGCGCTATATGAATTTTACTAGCAACAGACCATTTCCCTCGCTAGTCAAGCAGCACGGTATGGTGCTAACCAGTGAAATTAAATTTAGGAAAATAACTAAAGTATCTCAGCCAATTAGAGCAGAGGATAGAACATAAAACAACCATTTAACTATGCTAGTCACATGGTGGCCTGGCAATATGGTGCCTGAAGTTCATATTAACCATACAAATCAGAAAGAAATAATACGCAAGTTTAATACTCAAGGAAGTAGATATAACCTGCTAGGAAGAGCCGCACAAGCCTGTTGTATGCTCCCAAACAACCCACCTGAAAAGGCTGGTTTCCCAATACGAGCATAAGGAGCTAACATACCAACCAAAGCAATGTCAACCACTATGCCAACCAAAAGATCCGCTGCATACAACTCAAACTCCGACCAGAAATCCTTTCCCCTTTTCTGAACTTCTGCGAATGTTGCGCAACAAGAATCAATAACAATCTGCAACAGGCACCAACAAGAAGAATATCAACTTCAAAACATAATATGAATATTTCAAATTTGAATAGCCCAAGATGCACTATTTTATAAAAAAGATTACCAGAAACAAACCTCTGTTCCAACTTTGAAAAGAAAAGAAGGATCAGCCAGCATTCGATCACGCAGCATAGTACAGTGCTTCATCAAAAAACCTAGTGGCCATGCTGATCCCTGCAATTAAAAATTTACAATACCAACAAAACCTAACAATTATTATATTTTTCAAATTTTAAAATCAAAATCATTAACTTTAATAAATCATAGAAAAGAGAAATAACAATAACAAATAAAAGACCTGCAAATCGAGGTAACGAAGGAGAAACATTTTCCGAATCCCGGTAGATTTAGCAGCTTCCAACATATCAGCAGGAAGCTCAACTCCACACGCCTCTGTTTCCTTCATTACTTCCTCGAATTTCATTATCGGTCCAAACTCCTTCTCTTCCTCACCATCACCACTGTCTCCTCCCCTCCGCCGCCACCAGAAGAATCTCCACTGCCATTTCCATGACCAACACCACCATTATCGCCGCCGCCATCAGTTCTCAATTCAGAAGCAACATCCAACACCCTACTATCATCTTTCAATTTACCATCCGATAAGTCAGTAACGGTACCGGCGGTGGAATCAGAACTGGCGCATTTAACAGAGTGAGTGATGTTGTTGAAAGGGCAGACTAATTTTATTGGATGAGAACGGAAATTGTTGTGCTGGTTTTTGACTGAACTGAAAATCTGTTATCAACATGATTAAAAAAGAAATTGAAGCAGTCAGAGCTAAACTCAACATGCTCTAAACATTAAAAAAATTCCGAAATCCTAAAAAAGAACTGAAAAAACCCTAAAAAGAACTGAAAAACCCTAACCTTTTCGTTTTTGAAGCGAGTACGGATATTGCCAAGCTCTTTATCAACACGAAGTCTTTCTTGCCCTTTGTTTTGACAATTTCGAATATCGCTTATAAAGACAGAGTGTCCCCTCATGCCTGATAACGCCATTTCCCTCTCAGATCCAATAATTAGAGAGGGCTGCATTTTTTTTTCAAAATCGTGTTTCTATTGGAAATAAGAACGAAAGTGAGTTCTAAGATAATGAGACCTTGAAGGAATGGAGATCTGCGTGTGATTTTGAAGCATAGGCAGTGAGGGAGAGAGGGAGATTTGATGGGATGATCTCGCGAGAGAGAGAAAGAGGGAGAAACAGAAACTCAAATTTATTTTGTTTTGTGTTTTTCTTTTTTTCTAGAGAGAGAGAGGGTGGACTGAGGAAATTTGGAAAAGCCGCCGTCGGGGTGCGGAAGACGCCTTTTATTTACCGTAATTTAATTTCTTTTAATTTAACCTCCCTTTATTTCAATTATTCTTTAGGTAAAAGAGTTAAAATACCCGATGCTTGGGCTTTGGACGCTGCCCAGAAACCATATGCATTGGCAGAGGTTAAATCCCGAAGGTGATAGGCTTACAGCTAGAATGCAAGTGTGTTTAGTGTTAACTCCTGGGTTTGTTATTTTCCCATCAATTCATGTTTTACGTTGGACATGATACAACATTATTTTGTAGGTTTGTAATAGCTAGTGCCCGTATTGCAGCATTTCCACTACTTACAGTGCATCAAGTAGTAGATGGGAGCCAATTTTGTGGGTATTGGTTTGATTTGGGTCATGTTGAAGCAAGCAATAAACTGGAGAATTTGGAGAGGTTGTCTATATCTTGTTCCTGGAACAAGTTTAGATATTTTGCTTTTTGGTGGACCGGCACCATAGGACAAAGGTGTTGACTTTCCTAAAGCGGTGGAAATATCGGGTGACAAGCATACTTCCAGTAAAGATGGAATTTATGTGCATCAGATTTATGGCACTTATCAGAGTATGTACATGGTTTCGTGCCAAAATCTGGGAACACTTGTGAGTTCTATATTCTCTCCTGGGGCATAAACTACCGTTGTTCTTTTTCTCCTGTGCGTCTATGTTGTGCTTTTTTTACAACGAAAGTCATAACATTTTTCTCTATTTGGTACAACTTAGGATTTGGTTTCCAAACAGGGGGATTTGGTTGGAGGTGACCACCCTCTACCTGCAATAGCAGAAGTTGCTTTGTCTCTTACGTGCAGCTTTCCTTCTTCAATTGCACTGATAGTTGATGAACCTGGTGAATATTTAAATTATTCACCCAGACATATGCAATGAAAATAAATTATAATTTTATGATGACTTACGTTACATGCTATTGGCTGAATTTGTGGCACTCATAGGCCTTCTACCTCCATGCAGCATTGCTCCGTCAAGCTTTCACCCATTGCGAAAAATTCCCCACCGCTGCCTCTCGTAGGAGTCTAGGCCGTCTCTCAGTCCCAGTGCGGCTGATCATCCTCTCGGACCAGCTACTAATCATCATCTCAGTAAGCTATTGCCTCAACAACTAGCTAATCAGACGCGAGCTTCTCCTCGAACAGATTCCTCCTTTTTCTCCTCAGCCTACAGGGTATTAGCAGCCGTTTCCAGCTGTTGTTTCCCTTCCAAGGGCAGGTTCTTATGCGTTGCTCACCTGTCCGCCACTGAAAACACCACTTCCCATCCGACTTGCATGTGTTAAGCATGCCAACAGCATTCATCATGAGCCGGATCGAACTCTCGTTGAGATTCTTAGTTCAGTTAGCAGTCATCCCAACTGGTTTGGTATCCAGTCTTGGTTTTTGTCGTTCAGTTAACAGTCTTGGTTTTTGTCGTAACAGTCTTGGTTTTTTTTGTGCTACTATGTCTACTCTTACACGGACAGATGCTGCTGTTATGTTGTATAATTTTTTTTCTTTTTGGATAGTTTTCTTGATATATTGGAACCTAGGAGACGATGTTACCACTCCACAAATAATAACAGCACTCTCCTTAACCGGGTTTTGTGATTAGCACAATAGTGACATTGGAGTAGATTTGAATACAATAGTAAATCATCCTATGATACAAATATTTATTTTCTGCCAGCCATCCACGGAATACAAATTTCATTCCTGACGGATAAGAACTACAATGTCTGTATTTACTGCTTGTCTCAGAACATATCTTTACACACCTCATATGCTTGCAATAGAACTTCAGCAAAATAGCCAAGCAATGAAGCTGCACGCTAAGCAATAAAACTTGGAAAACCAAATAATTTTGTACCGACTACCTTCAAGGCCTTCTTGCTCATTGCGTTTCATGCAACAGAGATGGTAAACCTCCCAGTTGTTTTGGCTGACTAACTTCCACTCTGCTTTTTTCAGGGTACCCTGTGACGCAAATAGCTGCCTGAACCTGCATCAACCATCAGACCTTGCAAAAAGCTAGCCCCATTCATCATTCATGATGAAGTTCTCAAAGTTTCCTTGTGCACTCGCAGTTTCCATTAATTATAGTAAAAGTGGAGTATCCTCAATCCAATTTACAAAAAATTCAATAGATTTCATTGTAAGCCACGACATGGTAATTACGTTGAAGTTTAATTCATACCAATGGACAGATGAACGATCTTCAATACAGTTAGGAAAAATTGAACAGAGATTTCTCTGCAAGCCATGACATCTGCAGCTGGATTACTTATGCGAGGTGCAAAAACATCATCTCAAATGACAAAAGAGTTCTGAAACTCCAGTAAACCGTAAAAACCATTTCGAAAAATAGAGTTACACTTGTACTAGAGTACAACATGAATTCGCATTACATAAATAAAACCACTAAAACTCAACCATGCACCACTTCAGAAAAGCCACGCTCAGCGGCAAAATCTTGATCCTCTTTACTGCCATGACCAAATCCATAGAGTAATACCATACCGGCAGGTGAACTTCAACCCATTTTCCAAATATTATTTTTCAATGAAAAACAAAAGAAAAGAAAAACTCAGAAACAAATCCATCAGGCAAAGAGCAAGCAAATTTTCCTTGGAGGAGCTGGAAAATATATCGACCAGAATAATTATCTATGCTATCCCCATATGCATACAGTAAGGCAAAGGGGATTCCGCAAATAGTAACTTAAAAAAACACACTTCCATCATTTCATAATCCGTTTCAGAAAATCGATGAAACAAAAGAGGATAATCAGTACAACAAGGCAGAAAAAGCATGCAATAACAAAAGCATAGCCTTCGACCCCATAATTTCTCATGTTGTATATCTGGTCTCTGACGTCAGGCCACATTATAAATGCAAGAAACGCATACCCAATAATTACAATCAGATTCAGAATAAGTGGACGGCCGTTCTCCTCCTTCTTCGTCTTATTAGCCATAACTCAAGAGGTTGTAGCTGTTGCTGGAAATTGGAATCAGAGACTGTAAAAAAAAAAAAGAAAGAAAGAAAGAATTAGCAGAAGAAAAGTATTTGACCTATATCAGTTTGAGAGTGAGAAACTGACAAAATCATATTCTATAGCCTCCTGCGTCGCGAATCTCGTGGTGTAGCAATTTGCGCAGAAGATCTAGTTCGGAACTGATATGAGATTTTTGTGATTTGGAAGAAAGGGTTGTGAAGGTAGGGTCTTGGTTCTTTATTTTATTATTTGAGTCTTCTTTCTTTCTAATATCAACATAGAAGTCCTTCAAGATTTTTTTTATTTTTCAATTTCATCCTACAAGAGAGGCAATCTCATCTTGTATGAGCGACATATGACATATGTTGTATAAACAGAATCACGGTGCTCTTGGACACATCAGTTGTGTCAAGACTCAAAAGTTGGTGCTTTTGGACACATTAGTTGTGTCAAGACTCAAAAGTTGATCTGATATTTGAATTGAAGTATTTCTTAATGAAAGAGTTTAATGATTAATTCAATACGATACCACAAACAAGAATAAAAAACTTAGTTTGAAATAATAATAAAAAGAACTTAAAATTTAGACTAGGATTAATTTTTGACAAAAATAGAATTCTTTTAGGAGATAAATTTTTGAGCTAAACCTTAAGGTGACATCTTTTTTTGGAAATAACGCTTTTGAGTGACTGATATTTTTCCAAAAGCATAAACCAACTACTTATCTTAAAAATTCTGAACTAGTGTCTATATTAGGTTTTTAATTCTTTCAATACAAAATGACAACTCCAAACTTATAAATAATTCGATAAATAAAATATTAAATTTATCGAAAGTCCCGTTCAATGTCGACGGTGACAATCCTCGTAAAAAAAGCTGACAATATATATATATATTATTAAAAAAAAAAAGAGAGAGAGAGAAAAGGGGTGGATCGAGGAAATGTGGAAAGACTGTCGGGGTAGTGCGGGATACAACTTCTATTTACCGTAATTTAATTTCATTTAATTTAACCTCCCATCAGTCCATTCTCATATTTTATTTCTTTATTTTGTTTCATTTTCATCTCATTTTACACACACACATATATTTTTTTGGGTCAAAATTAAGTATTTTTTGGCAATTTGCTAATATTAAAATTAGCTTTTTATCCTTTGTATTTTTGATAAGTCATTCTCAATTAGAAAATGCGTTTATGATTTTTTCTAGATTTCAACTTGAAATAATAAGATAAGACACTACACAAACCATTTATCTTAAATTCTAAACCGACAACGCAACAAATGAAGCTAAAGATACGCCTTCTGTAAATTTAAGTCTCTTTTTTAGTTAATATTATGTCATTTTCTCGTATTACAAATGAAATTTTTGAATTTTTTTTTCAAACTAGGAGATTCATTGAGCCTTAATCACCTAAGTACTTCATTTTTTTCATATGAGCTAAATCTGAATTCAAATTGTTTACTCTAATTAGTTAGTTAATTGGCACGCATTTTTAGCTCTTCGTTTTTTCTATTTGAAGAACAAATTTTAGTTGCCCCTCCTTGATGTGCCCAACTAAGCGCACGAGAATCTCATGTTCATATAGATTTTGTGTGTTTGAAAGAAATGGGCTGACCCGAGTCTGTGATAGCTATCCCGGATCTGTATTTGAATTGGACTTTACATTCATGGAGCCACAGATGTTTTGAGTTTTAAGATCGGATTGTGTTACAGTTGTCACATTGACACACGAGTCATAATATGCATATAAAAAGAAAAGAAAAGTTTCTGTTGATCCCACGGTAGGTGTCGTTACTTTGCTTAAAGTGATGAATAGAAGAAGCATGGGGTCCTTCAATAACTTCAGGATTTAAATAAACCTTTTTGGTCAAAAGAGTTCTTCAGCCACCTGAATCCCCTTCTACGCCGATGAAAAAGAATTATCATGAAAGTTGAGTTACAAATACTTCAGATTTTTTTATCATTATCAACTACTTGGAAGCAAGTTGTTTAATAGTAATCAGAAATGATAAGATTATGAAGATCAATAGAAGCAAGTCAAATCAGAGGGACAAATGAAGCACGAAGATCAAACCTCCAATACCACAGTACTTGCCTTCCAGAGAAACTAACCCTCTATTTTTACCTAAACTGAACATTTCGACCAAGCAATTAGCTTGAAATAATGAAGCCAAACAAAAACTTAAAAGGCTTATCAAATAGAAAGCTAACCAGCACCTATAATCCTACCGCCTATCTAATCTCTATCTGTCGAGTATCATCCAATAGGAAGATAATGTCTGTGACATGACATAACTCCTCCTATTGCACCCCACTCAAATTTGCCCAATCTACTCTTTAACACCATATATTCTCTTGGCAAATAGCACACCAAAGGTGAAAGCCATTGCAACAGGCAGAACCTTTTTCACCACAGGTGATGCTTCAACCAGGCGCTCCAGTCCATTAACAATGAGGCAAGGAGTGTTAAAAGGTACAGAAAGAAACCCCCTGGTCAACGAAGGTAAGCCATGAACAGAAAAGCATCAGGGGTTAATGACAACATAAGAAAATCAAATAAATATATTATCAACATGCTGATGGAAGGACAAAAAGTCCAGCCAAAATATGCATTAAATCCTCGTATAAACCTGATAAATTAATGAGATTATTGCTGCAAAAGAACCTTAAAATGATTAGAAATTTGAAATGCTGCAGTATCTACTCAAACCTCAGCTCATCAAGAAACAATAACAAAAAGGGATAGACCAGCAGTGTCGGTTCTGAGGAATTAACTGGTACCGAATGAGAGCCAAGAGTTGCAAAAACATTATCTATAAACATACCAGGAGCTTCACTTTGCAAACGAGGTAGAAAAGGAATGTCCTCATCTGATTTCTTTGTGCTCCTGATTTTAGAAAAAAACATAACAAAGCAATTAGCTCTTCATCTTCATAAAAAAAATAACATCTTTATTGAAAAACCACCCCTATCATAGAAAATTGTGTTTTAATAAGCCAAATATAAATTGAATTCTTAAGCAGCTTCAGCTAATAAAAGAAAACAAGTAGAGGTTTTTTTCTAAAAAAAAAAAAATGAAACAAGTATAAGATAGAATGGGAAAAAGGAAAATGTAAAGGTATCGCTTCTTCGGTACAAATTTCTCCATAGTATATTTTCTCCAGCAGCTCAGCTGGAACAGAGACATGTTACACAGCAAACTTTCCTCTAACATGTTGAACCATGCATTATTATTGTTAAATTTCACCAGTATACTTCGTTGACAAAACAGAATAATATAATTTAATTGTCGACTTCGAGAATGGCAGTTCTGGCAAAAACCTTCACTACCCTGTCCGTTGTCTTCCAATAAAAGCAGTCTGCTCTTTCAGAAACATCAATAACTCTCTTATATGCATCGTTGTCTTCCAATAAATGCGTAATTGCAATACTCAGGGCCTGTTTCGCCAAAGATAACGCTCCAACCAGGCGGTCCTGTCCGGTGATAATTTGCCAACTACGGTTGGAAGATACAGAAAGGAACACACCTGATCAATAGGCAAACATTAAACAGAAAGGTGTTGGGGGTTAATTAAAAAAAAGAAAAACGTATAAATATATTATCAACATGCTGATTGACGGACAAAAGGTCCAGACAAAATCTACATTGAAAACAATTTCTCATGTAATCCTAATGAATTAATGAAATTATTGCTGAAAAAAAAAAAAAAAAAAACTAAAAACCAGACGAAATTTGTTGCAGTATCTACTCAACCTCAGTTCAGCTAATTCAGAAACCAATAACAGAAATGGAAAGACCAACAAAATTGGTTCTGAGAAATTGTAATTGGTACCAAATTAGAAACCAAAAATTGGAAAAACAATATATCTAAACATACCCCAACGAGCTGGAACAGGAATGTCCTTTTCTGATTTCTTTAAGCTTCTGATGATAGAGAAAAACAAAACAAAACCTAGTGGCCATGCTGATCCCTGCAATTACGCATTTACAACACCAACAAAACCTAACAATTATTCTATTTTTTCTATTAAATTTTAAAATCAAAATCAATAACATTATAAAATCATAGAAAAGAGAAATAACAAAATAAAGGACCTGCAAATCGGGGGAACGAAGGAGAAACAATTGGATAATCCCGGCAGATTTAGCAGCTTCCAACATATCAGCAGGAAGCTCAACTCCACGAGTCTCTTTCTCCTTCATTACATCCTCGAACTTCAATATCGGTCCAAACTCTTTATCTTCCTCACTATCGCCACCGTCTCCTCCTCCTCCACCACCACCACCAAAAGAATCTCCACTGCCATTTCCATCACCAGCCCCACCATTATCGCCGCCGCCATCAGCTGCTTTTATTGGAAGACAACGGACAGGGTAGTGAAGGTTTTTGCCAGAACTGCCATTCTCGAAGTCGACATTTCTGATCGGAGCGACGCCCTTAGAAGAGGAGTGCAATAAAGGGAAGGGTTTAAGGGACAGCGAAAAAGCCGCCAACATGTTTGGCCTTGTTAAGGAGACCCTAGATTTCCGGAACTATGGAGTGAAGTATCGCCTCGGGGTTTTAATGCGGTCGAGAGTAGGAAAAAAGACACGATGATATAATTAAAGGTTGAATTTTTTTTTAAAAAAAAGATAAATTAAAATAATAAATTTTAAATAATAAAATAATTAATAAAAAAATATTAAAATAAAATGGGATCAAATCATAATACAATTAAGAAAAAATTATCATATTATAAAAATTTATTTCAAAATCCATATATATAGAAAAAAAATTAAAACTGTCAATAAATATAATTTTAAATTAATTAAATTGAAATTTAAAAAATAATAAATTAAAGTAGTAAATTTTAAATAATAAAAATAATTATTAAAAACTTTTAAAAAATAGAATAAATCATAATATAATTAAAGTTTGATATTAAAAAAATTTTAAATTTAAAAATAAAAATAATAAAAATAATTAATAAATTAAAGTTTGAAATTGAAAAAAATAAAAAATTATAAAATTATAAAATAAAATAGTTAATTTTGAATCATAAAAATAATTAACAAAAAATATTACGAAATCAAATCACAGTATAATTAAAATTTGAAATAGGTAAGAGAATTCGAAAGCACTCGATACGTGGTTGCTTAGCACAAATGGTAATCAGCCAATAATAACAAGGGCTGACAAGATTACAGTACTCAATGGAAGCAGTTAATTTTAGTTATCTCAAATGAATTGCCTCCCCAGAAAAAACTAACACCACATTTGTAACAGGCGGAACTTGCTTCGCCAAAGGGGAGGCTTCAACCAGGGGCTCCAGTCCATTGACAATTTGGTGCAGGAAAAACTGTCGGGATGGTGCAGATGCAACTTCTATTTACCGTAATTTAATTTCATTTAATTTAACCTCCCATCAGTCCATTCTCATATTTTATTTCTTTATTTTGTTTCATTTTCATCTCATTTTACACACACACATATATTTTTTTGGGGTCAAAATTAAGTATTTTTTTGGCAATTAACTAATATTAAAATCACCTTTTTATCCTTTGTATTTTTGATAAGTCATTCTCAATTAGAAAATACGTTTATGATTTTCTCTAGATTTCAACTTGAAATAATAAGATAAGACACTACACAAACCATTTATCTTAAATTCTAAACCGACAAGGCAACAAATGAAGCTAAAAATACGCCTTCTGTAAATTTAAGTCTCTTTTTTAGTTAATATCATGTCATTTTCTAGTATTACAAATGAAATTTTCGATTTTTTTTTTCAAATTAGGAGATTTATTGAGCCTTAATCACCTAAGTACTTAATTTTTTTCATATGAGCTAAATCTGAATTCAAATTGTTTACTCTAATTAGTTAGTTAATTGGCACGCATTTTTAGCTCTTCGTTTTTTCTATTTGAAGAACAAATTTTAGTTGCCCCTCCTTGATGTGCCCAACTAAGCGCACGAGAATCTCATGTTCATATAGATTTTGTGTGTTTGAAAGAAATGGGCTGACCCGAGTCTGTGATAGCTATCCCGGATCTGTATTTGAATTGGACTTTACATTCATGGAGCCACAGATGTTTTGAGTTTTAAGATCGGATTGTGTTACAGTTGTCACATTGACACACGAGTCATAATATGCATATAAAAAGAAAAGAAAAGTTTCTGTTGATCCCACGGTAGGTGTCGTTACTTTACTTAAAGTGATGAATAGAAGAAGCATGGGGTCCTTCAATGACTTCAGGATTTAAATAAACCTTTTTGGTCAAAAGAGTTCTTCAGCCACCTGAATCACCTTCTACGCCGATGAAAAAGAATTATCATGAAAGTTGAGTTACAAATACTTCAGATTTTTTTATCATTATCAACTACTTGGAAGCAAGTTGTTTAATAGTAATCAGAAATGATAAGATTATGAAGATCAATAGAAGCAAGTCAAATCAGAGGGACAAATGAAGCACGAAGATCAAACCTCCAATACCACAGTACTTGCCTTCCAGATAAACTAACCCTCTATTTTTACCTAAACTGAACATTTCGACCAAGCAATTAGCTTGAAATAATGAAGCCAAACAAAAACTTAAAAGGCTTATCAAATAGAAAGCTAAAGCCAAATTTAACCAGCACCTATAATCCTACGCCTATCTAATCTCTATCTGTCGTGTATCCTCCACATTCAATAGGAAGATAATGTCTTGAGACATGACATAAATCCTCCTATTGCACCAATCTACTCTTTACCACCATATATTCTCCTGGCCAATAGCACACCAAAGGTGAAAGCCATTACAACAGGCAGAACCTTTTTCACCACAGGTGATGCTCCAACCAGGCGCTCCACTCCATTAGTTACGCAAGGAGTGTTGGAAGATACAGGAAGAAACCCCCTGATTAACGAAGGTAAACCATGGACAGAAAAGCATCAGGGGTTATTGACAACATAAGAAAATCAAATAAATATATTATCAACATGCTGATGGAAGGACAAAAAGTCCAGCCAAAATATGCATTGAATTCTCATATAAACCTGATAAATTAATGAGATTATTGCTGCAAAAGAACCTTAAAATGATTAGAAGTTTGAAATGTTGCAGTATCTACTCAAACCTCAGCTCAGCTAGTCAAGAAACCAATAAAAAAAAGGGATAGACCAGCAGTGTTAGTTCTGAGAAATTAACAGGTACTGAATGAGAACCAAAAGTTGGAAAAACATTATCTATAAACATACCAAGAGCTTCACTTTGCAAACGCGGTAGAAAAGGAATGTCCTGTTCTGATTTCTTTATACTCCTGATTTTAGATAGAAACAAAACAAAGCAATTAGCTCTTCATCTTCATAAAAAATAACATCTTTATTGAAAAACCACCCCTACCATAGAAAATTGTTTTTTAATAAGCCAAATATAAATTTAACTCTTAAGCAGCTTCAGCTAATAAAAGAAACAAGTAGAGGTTTTTTTTAAAAAAAGAAAAAGGAAAAAAATGAAACAAGTAGAAGATAGAACAGGTAAAAAGAAAATGTAAAGGTATCTCTTTTTTGGTACAAATTTCTCCATAGTATATGTTCTACATCTGCTCAGCTGAAACAGAGACATGCTACTCGGTAAACTGATAGAACACTGAACTAGAAAAAGGAATGCTAACAGCAATTTGAGAGGCTGCCTCTCTCCCAGACAGTATTGTCACCCAAAAATTACACAAAATCTCTCATGGTCCCCTCCCCATGTCAGTACTAGCCTATGTATTCTTCCTACTTCAGTTGTAACCAACCTCACACCAAGGACCACCTCTTCTAGAAACTGACAGGTTGTTATCAAACAACAAAATGCCAAAAACAGCCTATAAACCAACAATGTAACCAACACAACAAACTCTGAATTAAAAGGAAACAAACACTGAAGTATAACACGTCCAGTCCAGCCCTGATGCTACTGCCCCTGCTCAAGCCTGATCCACTTCTTCCAAATTCACCCCATCCTCATTCAGCCTTGCACATGTCTCCCTTTCCTCTTATAGACAAATCTCACAGCAGGCTTAACATAAACTTTCCTCTAATACGTGAAATCATGCATTATTATTGTTAAATTTCACCAGTATACTTAGTTGACAAAACAGAATAATATAATTTAATTGTCAATGAAAAATAAACAGAATAATATAATTTACTTGTCAATGAAAAATAACCATCGAAGAAATTAGAGCTTGAATAGAAAAATAGACAACCCAGCCGAATTGCTTATGCATTGCATTATGAAATGATTTTGAAGTCAGAACTCAAGGATGCATTCATAACAGAGCAAAGCCCATTCATTAAAGGAACAACAATGAAACAGGAAAAGAGAGAGCACCCGTAGATAAAAGGTGTGTACCATTTGGGAGTCATTCTCAGATCAGCAATCCCTTGGCCACCGAGGGCCAACCTAAACCCAGCTGAACCATTTAACACACCATGAATACAGAATGTTCCAATAAAGTACATCAGAAGCAGAAGAAAATAATAGTAAAACTACCACTAGAAGCATGCAGAGCCCCAGAGTTCCGAAATGATGGAGCCATTGCAACACTAGTGTTGGAAGATACAGAAAGGAACACACTTGATCAACCAGGCAAACATTAAACAGAAAGGTGTTGGGGGTTAATTTAAAAAAAAAAAATCGTATAAATATATTATCAACATGCTGATTGAAGGACAAAAGGTCCAGGCAAAATATACATTGAAAACAAAATTCTCATGTAATCCTAATGAATTAATGAAATTATTGCTGAAAAAAAAAACTAAAAGCCAAACGAAATTCGAAATCTTGCAGTATCTACTCAACCTCAGTTCAGATAATTCAGAAACCAATAACAGAAATGGAAAGACCAACAAAATTGGTTCCGAGAAATTGAAATTGGTACCGAATTAGAAACCAAAAATTGGAAAAGCATTATATATAAACATACCACAAGGAGCTGGAACAGGAATGTCCTTTTTTGATTTCTTTAAGCTTCTGATGATAGAGAAAAACAAAACAAAGCAATTAGCTCTTCATCTTCAAAAGAACAAGCATCACCTTCAGTAAAAGAACCACCACTGTCATAGAACATTGTTTTTTTCGTAAGACATAAAAAATAGAACTCTTAAGTAGCTTCAGCTGCTAAAAGAAAACAGGTAGAAGTTTTTTTTTTTTCCTTCCATCTGAAACAAGTAGAAAATAGAACAGGTAAAAAGAAAAACAAAGGTATATTTTTCAACACAGATTTCTCAGATATATGTTTTCCAGTGGCACATGGGGGAACGGGGGCATGCATTGCTCAGTAGATTTTTCTCTAATATGTGAAACCATGCGCTATTATTGTTAAATTTCATGGGTATACTTAATCGACAAAACAGATTAATACACAATTTAATTGTTAATGAAAAATAAATATGAGAGGAATTAATGCTTAATGGCTCATTTGCCAGACCAACTGCAGAGTACAAGTGACAATCTTAAGGCAAACCAAACCTCTTGAAATTGAGAGAGTAACATCTTTATGAACATAAAATCAAACTTCAATAGAAAAACAAACAAACCAGCCAAATTGCTCATGTATGGCATTCTAAAATGATTTAAATCAGAACTCAAGGATACATTTTCTATTACAAAAAGACTCAAAGATATATTCGTAACAGCACAAAGCCCATTCGATTAGGAGCAACAATGAAACAGGAGAGAGAGATAATGAAGATAAAAGGTGTACCGTTTGGCAGGCATTATCGGATTAGCATGGCTTTGGCTAATCACTCCACACGCAAGCCCAAATAAACCATAGAATACACCCTGAATACAGAATGTTCCAACAAAGTACATTAGAAGCAGAAGAAAGTAATGCTAAAACTACCACTAGAAGCATAGAGAACCAGGGAATAAGAGTGAAACTTGCATTGAAACACAGTTCCAAAACATAATATGCATATTTTAAATTCAAATAGCCCAAGATGTACAAGTTTATTAAAAAGATTACAAGAAACAATCCTGTATTCCAACGTTGAAAATAAAAGAAGAATCAGCCAGCATTCGATTACGCAGAACGAAACCTAACAATTATTCTATTTTTTCTATTAAATTTTAAAATCAAAATCAAAATCAATAACTTTATAAAATCATAGAAAAGAGAAATAACAATAACAAAATAAAAGACCTGCGAATTCCCGAACTTCAATATCCGTCCAAACTCTTTATCTTCCTCACTATCCCCACCGTCTCCTCCTCCTCCACCACCACCAGAAGAATCTCCACCGCCATTTCCATCACCAGCCCCACCATTATCGCCGCCGCCATCAGAAGCATCATCCAAAACCCTACCATCATCCTTCAATTTACCATCCGATGAGCCAGTAACTGTACCGGTGGTAAAAGGAGAACCGATGCATATAACAGAGTTATTGATGCTGAAAGAGCAGACTACTTTTATTGAACGACAACGGGAACTGTATTGAAGGTTTTTGTCAGAACTGAAATTCTTGAAGTTGAAATTTCTGATCGGAGCGACGCCCTTAGAAGAGGAGTGGAATAAAGGGGAGGGTTTAGTGGATAGCGCAAAAGCCGCCAACATGTTTGGCTTTGTTAAGGAGAGTCTAGATTTCCGGAATTATGAAGTGAAGTATCGCCTCGGGGTTTTAATGCGGTCGAGAGTAGAAAAAAGATACGATGATATTGGCAAGTCTTGATTAAGTTCTCGAACAACTTTTATCTCAATTGAGTCCCATTGACCCGCCGGTCCAAGCATACACTAAAAAGGAAAATGTATTTTTTGGTTACCAATCGAAATTGGAAAAATGATATGTCAAATTCTCATCATGCATGAAATTGCGAGCATTTATGAACTACAATTCCAAGTTGAAAAAGCCTATGAATGACGATTTGGATTTTTAAAGAAGCTTGCAAACATCGACCCAGGCTTCACCTAACAATACATTGAGCTGGAATACGGAACGGTTAATCTAAGGCATTTTACTAAAAATGAAAAATGATGCTTGCACAAAGCGCCAGCAATGGCTCATGGAAATCAGGCCGTGGCCGAGGCCATGATAGCAGAAAGGATTTAGCTTGGCCAAGATTTCTTCTGCACCAAAAACACTTGACTCGACTTCTAAATCCATTAAAAATAGTTTCAAACTAGAAAGAGAGAGAGGTATTTTTTTGTTGAGCTGCAAACATGAGAGATAGAGAGAGGGGTTTTTTTTTTATGAATTGCAGATGTGCGAGAGAGAGGAGCATCGTCTATTTTGATGAATCAACAATATTGTTGGTGATAAGATCCGATGATATGGCAATAATCTATTGGTTGTTCGGATTATATTATCTTTCTGTAATCAATCAGAATAAAAAAGAAAAAAGAGCTAAAATTACACAATCCAATAGCTGTAGAAAAAAAAAAAGATGGAGGATCAACAGTTGAGAGACAAAAATAATAGCAACAGGTCTTGGTACTCGACGATTAACTAAATAAACTAAAACAAAAGGATGATTTACTGTTTAAATATTATTCATATACTAATATTTTATTATTTATAGATTTTTTATATTTTGATCTTTGATATTTACCAATGAATATTTAGATCTACATCTTTATTTATTCATCTATTTTGGTCGTTGGTGAGAGAGAAAGGAGGGGGAACAAAGAGACGAGATGAGAGAGAGAGATTGTCGCTCGAGCTTATTTAAGCCACTTTAATCAGTGAAAATCTATTAAATTTTTTTTATCTTTAAAAGATGAGTTTGTTTATAGTTGTTTTAGCTCATTAAACAATTAGAACGGATAGATCGGAGCCAAAAAAGAAAACAATGTTCTGATTTGATTATATAATTTTTTTTTTGTTTTTGTATGCATTACAATGATTTTTAAGGTTTTAGATACATTTATTAGCTTTATTTCGATCATTTAAAGGTGTTTAAAGAAAAAAATTAATACCAAAATTTAATTTATAAGGGTCTGAAATTTGATTTTTGATTTTCTGACGGCATCGATTTCGAAAGTTGCAGCCTTTTTTTTTTCTTTAGGTCTTGAGCAGCAACCCACGCCTGAAGGGCATGCCCGACCTATCCTAGCGCGCAGGCCTCGTGCATGGCTTTTTTTCTTTTTTTTTCATTCCTGCTTAAGAAATTGCTTTTTATTTTGGTCCCTTCTTTCTATTTTTTTTTTAATTTTGGTCAGTAAACTTTTCTTATCTTTTATTTTTATCCCTATCAGAAATATTAAAAATTTATTAGATGTGATTTTTATCCTTATAATAATTTTTTTTAACTTTTAGTAAAAATTTATGTTCTTTTTTTGTTTCTATTTTTTAATATATTTTTATTTTAGTCATTAAATTTTTCTCATATTTGATTTTTATCCTTATTATACTAAAACTAAATAAAGTCTACTATCCTAATGTTGTTTTTTTTTCTTTTACTGAAATTTTTTTTCTATTCTAGTTTTGATTTTTTTCTTTGTTTTCGTCATTAAATTTAGTAGAATTTTTTTTTAGTCTTTGTTTTGTAATTTTTTTTTATTTTGATCATTAAAGTTTTTCCCTACAATGAACTATTTTTTACTTTTAGTAAAACTTTTCGTTATATTTTGGTTTTTGTTTTATGATCTTTCATTTATTTTGATCATTAAACTTTTCTTATCTTTAATTATTATTCATTCTATATTAAAATTAAATACATTTTAACTATGCTAAGTTTTTTTTTTTAGTGAAAAACTTTTCTGTTTTGATTCTTATTTTATTAACTTTTTTATTTTGGTCATTAAAATTCTATAATGTTTACTTTTGTTCCCGCCTTATGCATAATGGAAATTTTTTAATCTTATTTTTTATAAGTATTTTTTGTATGCTTTTTGTGAAATTTTATTTATTTATTTTTATCCTTTTTATTTATCTCTATTTTATTTGCCAAATTCTCGATTTGACAAAGCTTTTTTGTCTTCTTGTATTGAGTGGTCTCTCTGTCTCATTAACAAATTAGAGATAAATAATATATGGTAAAAATTAATCATCAAAAATTAAAAAAACTACCATATTATTATTTTAATTATCATTTATTAATAAAATACATGTTTATATCAAACAATATCTAATTAGCAACATTTTATTATTCAACTTTGCGGACTTTTCGTTTTAGCTAACCCCGCAACAAATTAAGAAATATATGTTTAAAATTTTTTTTTCAATTATTTTCATATTATATTGCTAAATAATGATCTGTAAATGTTAAATTTTACATAAATGAATGCATAAAAATGTTATATAACTCACATCTCAACAATGCACGAGATATATGCTAATAACGGATCTAAATGAATTGTACTCATACTGTAAACATCTAAAATCTTGTAGGATTTTTTTTTTTTTTGGTTAATCAATTGTTATTTGTTAACGTCCTCTTTCGGATACAGTAATTTCGCTTTGTTTTTAAAAATAAGGGCTGAAAGCACTCCAGATGTGGTTGATTAGCACAAATAGTAATCAGCCAATAATAATAAGGGCTGAAAAGATTATAGTGCTCAATGGAAGAAGCAGTTAATTTCATCTATCTCAACTGAGCCTTTCAGCCAAGCACTTAGCTTGAAATGATTGGTGCCAAACAAAAACAGAAGGCTTTTTCATAGGAAACTAACGCCCTGGTTTAACCAGTAAATATAGTCCTACCCCTCTCTATCTATGGAGAGTCCTTTTCTAAGGAGGGAGGTGGGAGCATTCGATAAGAAGAAAATGTGTGAGACATGACTCCTGCTATTGCACCCCACTCAATTTTGCCCAATCTACGAACTGCATACCACCATAAATATTGTTGGCAAATCGCACACCAACGGTGAAAGCCATTGCAACTGTCGGGACCTGTTTTGCCAGAGGTGATGCTTCAACCAGGCGCTCCAGTCCATTAACAATTTGGTAACGAGTGTTGGAAGATACGGCAAGAAACACACCTGATCAATGAGGCAAACCATGAACAGAAAAGCAGCAGGGGTTATCGACAACAAATGAAAATCATATAAATATATTAGCGATATGCTGGTGGAAGGACAAAAAGTCTAGCCAAAATATGCATTGAATTCTCATATAAACCTGATGAATTAATGAAATTATTGCTGCCAAAAAAAAAAAATGGTTTGAAATTTGAAATGTTGCAGTATCTACTCAAACCTCAGCTCAGCTAGTCAAGAAACCAATAACAAAAATGAACAGACCAACAGAGTTGGTTCTGAGGAATTGCAATTGGTACCGAATAAGAAACCAAAAGTTGGAAAAACATTATATATAAACGTACCCCAAAGAGCTGCACTTTGCACAAGAGGAGGAACAGGAATGTCCCCTTCTGATTTCTTTATGCTCCTGATTTTAGAGAAACACAAAACAAAACAAAGCAATTAGCTCTTCTTCTTCAAAAGATATAACCCTTTTATTAAAAAACCACCCCTATCATAAAACATTGTTTTTTAATAAGCCAAATTAAATTGAACTCTTAAGCAGCTTCAGCTCATAAAAGAAAGCAAGAACTTTTTCTTTTAAAAAAAAAAAAAACAAGTAGAAGATAGAACAGGTAAAAAGAAAATGTAAAGGTATCTCTTTTTTGGTACAAATTTCTCCATAGTATATGTTCTGCATTTGCTCAGCTGGAAAAGAGACGGGTTACTCAGTAAACTTTCCTCTAATATGTGATACCATGCATTATAATTTTTAAATTTCACCAGTACGGGAGAAATTGTTAAATTTGCTCAGCTGGAACAGAGACGAGTTACTCAGTAAACTTTCCTCTAATATGTGAAACCATGCATTATTATTGTTAAATTTCACCAGCATACTTAGTTGACAAAACAGAATTATATATAATTTATTGTCAATGAAAAATAACTATGGAAGAAATTCAAGCTTGATGACACATCTGACAGACCAAATTGCAGAGTACAACAGACAATCTTGAGGCAACCCAAACATCTTGAAATAGAGAGAGTGACATCTTTATGAATATAAAATCAAACTTCAATAGAAAAATAAGCAACCCAGCCAAACTGCTCATGTATGGCATTCTGACATGTTTTGAATTCAGAACTCCAGGATGCATTCATAAGGAACAACAATGAAACAGGAAGAGAGAGAGAGCAGACGTAAATAAAACATGTACCGTTTGGCAGTCATTATCAGATTAGCAATCCCTTGGCCAATGAGTCCACACCCAAACCCAACTGAACCATATAATACACCCTGAATACAGAATGTTCCAATAAAGAACATCAGAAGCAGAAGAAAATAATAGTAAAACTACTGCTAGGAGAATAGAGAACCAGTGAGTAACTATGAAACTTGTGTTCAAACAGAGTTACAAAAACAAATGTCAGTGAAATACGATACCAACAAGAACTAAAATGCACGTTTCCTCTGGGGTGTCAGTTTTGAGGATTTTTTAACGAAAGGCAGCTATATTAGGATCGCATGCCGTACCTTATAGAAGTAGGTAGCAATGCGCTGTTTCACAGAGAATTTGCATCCTGGCCTTTCAGCTTCAAAAACACTGCAAAAAGAGAGGCTTTGTGAATGAAGCAAGAAACCAATGGTATATTTTCATAATAGATAATCTGCAAGAAGAGATGTAAACGGAAAAGGAAATCGACAGGGTACAACATGGTACCCTTGAACAGAAATGCTTCTTATCACATTTATATAGTCACAGTTACTTTAATTTCAGAATCAAGGGGGTCAAATCCAACTTTCCAAGTGCTACATTCATACCTACATATATTGCTTTTGAAGTATACATTCAAGTAGGTCAAATCCTAGAACTGCTACATGAATGCCTAAAGGTCACCATCTAGTTCTCGTCCAACCAAAGTGGCATGGCCAATAAACCCCTGCATGAAATTTACCAGCAACATACCATTTCCCTGGCTAGTGAAGCAACACGACATGGTGCTATCCAATGAAGTTAACTTTAGGAAAATGGCTAAAGTATCTCAGATGATTAGAGTAGAGGATGGGGCATAAAAAAACCATTTCAATATGCTAGTCACATTGTGGCCGGAAGTTCATATCAACCATGTAAAAGAGAGAGCAATAATACACAAGTTTAATATTCCAGGGAGAAGAAGATAATACCTGCTAGGAAGAGCCGCACAAGCCTGTTGTAAGCTCCCAAACAACCCACCCGAAACAGCCGGCTTCCCAATACGAGCATAAGGCGCTAACATGCCAACCAAAGCAACGCAAACCACGACCCCAACCAAAAGATCGGCTGCATATAACTCAAACTCCGACCAAAAATCCTTTCCTCTTTTCTGAATTTCAGCAAACGTAGCACAACATGAATCAATAACTATCTGCAACACACGTCATCAACAAAAATATTAATTTCAAAACATAATATAAATATTTCCCATTCAAATAAACCAAAAGATATGCCATTTTATTAATAATAAAATAAAATAAAAAGATTACAGAAACAAACCTCTGTTCCAACTTTGAAAATAAAAGAAGGATCGGCCAGCATTCGATTACGCAGCATAGTACAGTACTTCATTAAAAAACCTAGTGGCCATGCTGATCCCTGCAATTACAAATTTACAACACCAACAAAACCTAACAATTATTATATTTTTTTCAATTAAATTTTCAAATCAAAATCAATAACTTTATAAAATCATAGAAAAGAGAAGTAATAATAACAAAATAAAAGACCTGCAAATCGAGGTAACGAAGGAGAAACATTTTGCGAATCCCGGTAGATTTAGCAGCTTCCAACATATCAGCAGGAAGCTCAACTCCACGCGTCTTTGTCTCCTTCATTACTTCCTCGAACTTCATTATCGGTCCAAACTCCTTATCTTCCTCGCTATCGCCACCGTCTCCTCCTCCTCCTCCTCCTCCTCCTCCACCACCACCACCGGAAGAATCTCCACCGTCATTTCCATCACCAGCCCCACCATTATCGCCGCCGCCATCAGTTCTCAATTCAGAAGCAACATCCAAAACCCTAGGATCATCCTTCAATCTACCATCCGATGAGGCAGTAACGGTACCTGCGGTAGAGTCAGAACCGGCGCATTTAACAGAGTGAGTGATTTTGTTGAAAGAGCAGACTAATTTTATTGGATAAGAACGGGAACTGTCGTGGTGGTTTTTGACGGAACCGAAAATCTTGACGTTCACATTGCTGATCGGAACGACATCCTTGGAAGAGAAAGAGTGGTAGAGAGGGGAGAGTTTAAAGTACGGCGAAGAAAGTGACATTATGTTTTTTGTTTTTTATTCTCTCTGTCTCTCTCTCTCTCTCTCTCTTTATGGTAAGAAAATGAAAGGAGATTTTTTTTTTCCTGAAAAAGATTTCGCTGTGGATTGGATGAAGTGACGACTGACGACACTGGTTTGGGGATTGGCTGCGGTCGACAGCAGGGAGACTGGAGATGATTTTTTTGAAACAGTCCTCCAATTATATAGGTGTTCTTTAATAGGTCTCCGAACAACTTTTTATCTCAATTGAGTCTCTAAAATTTAAGTCTCGATTAAGTCTATATTCATCATAATTATTCATGCCATCCGCTCAAATTATTTGATCTGTGAAAACACGTAAGGCCTTTTTTTATTAAATTTGGAAAGTAGGAAAGTTACATAGTATTTGAAAATCTAGGGAAAAATGGTGAGAAAGGGAATAAGGTGAAGATTTTTTTTTATATAGTTTACTAAATTGCTTTTTAATAAAATAAAAGGATAGAAAAGGGAGCATATGATTTTAATCCAAATTTTTGGATAGTACTAACATGTTAAACTATTAGCATCTTAATCAAAAGATTCGACGCTTGAGATACGGTCTAGCGGTTGAGGACTTGCTTGATGACCATTCGGGTTTGACTCTCTCCGCGCACACCTATCACTCCCGTGGTGCCTTACCTATCCACTCGGGTTCAGAAATTAATCATGATATGCGCAAGCTGGCTCTGGACATCCCGAGTTACAAAAAAAAAAAAAAAAAAAAAAAATTCTAATGAACTTTTATTAGAAGAATAGCATGATGGATACGATAGTAATTTACTAAGCACCACGTCTTTGAATTTTCTTCCCCAACTTATTCCTTGTTCAAACACAGATGAAAGACAAAAAGTCTAGGATAATAATGGCTCTTTTCAACCTAGTGTTAAAATGTTAAAAAATATCCTCTAATATAATTTCAAAATATTAACCAATATAGATTGTTAAGAAAATAATTAAAGTTACATCTCTGTCTTTTTCTTTTAAAATACAAAAACTCTCTCGTTTTTCTTTTTATTTTAATTTAGAATCCTATATTTTCTTCTTCTTTTTTCATCACAAAACTCTCTTGTTTTTTTTTCCCCAATCATATCATCCTACACTTCCATCGTTTGTCCTTTTTTTTTTTTTTAACCAGAAATCTCTCTGATTTTTTTTTAAATTATTATTATTATTATTATTATTACAATCATGTTTGCTAAAGGAATTTTTTTAGAGTTTGGTCGGAATGACGAGTCAAACTTGAATACCAAAACAACAAATATATTGATCAAATAACACGTAAACCAGACATCCGTCAACAAATCCATAGTTTATCATACAACCGAAGTACTAAACTTAATACCTCAAAAAAAAAAAAAACACAAAAACAAAAAAGACTTGAGCTTCGCTTACAGTAAAAAAATGAAACCCAAAGACAACAACTTTTGTTTCAATCAGCGACAATGTCAAGCAGAAGAAATTGTTGAACTTTTTCTAGAATTTCTCCGATCTCTCTCCATTTCATCTATTGGTTCAAAATGATTGAAAAAAAAAAACTAGTGTTTAAATTCGCAAAAGATAAAACAACGGGCTTGAGAACGGAGTAGATTATATTCAGTAAACAGAGGCCCAATGAAAGAAGATTCATTTGGGCTTTTTTTTTTCCCTTAAGTTGAAATACTCTTTCGAGGTTTGCCCAAAATTCTGAAAACTAAAAACTAAACGTCGCCTGAGAGATTCGAACTCTCGCGGGGAAACCCCATGTACTTAGCAGGCACACGCCTTAACCACTCGGCCAAAGCGACTGTTGATAGTGCTAGGGTGCGACTGTTGATAAATATAATTTTCCAGTAGTTCCTTCTTCCGGAGGCTAATTTCATCATTTCCGACTTCCACGTATGCTTAAAAATTGGACGTTCATCTTTAATCTTCGCTTTTTATGACACGTTTTAAGGATAGTTTAGAGCATTCCCCTGCCTTATTGTTTACAAACTGCAAGTTTGCAACAGTACTCCACTTCAGACATACAAATCCTGCGGGAAATCTGAATCTCAGCTACATCTTGCTTTCATGGGCATGACACCCTAACAAGACTACGACGTAATATCTCAAAACACTCCATTGGAGCCCTTGAAGCAAATCCAAAATGCTGCTTACTTTGCTTGTTTTCACCCATACCTTTGAAAAGAATCGACCTCGACCACAACCTAAAAAATTGCCGAAAGGCTTCGCAGACAAACATTCCATATCTATTAGTTCTGTTTTTCATTTTCATCCTGAGGCAGGCAGAGGCTCCAGAACTGCATGCTTCAGGTTCCAGGAAGAAAACTCCAGCTTATATTAGTTGATAACTTTATATACCATACATGCATTTTATAGAGCCTACTCACCATCAAAACCTATCAGATGCATAAACTCGAGAACATACAAGTATACGGGCTTTAGAAGATGAAACCATAAAGAAAATAGAAATTTGTCATACTAAGATGGAAGTTCAAACATGCAAAATGAATTTTCTGATATATTTCCAATGTTAGACAACCTTACAAAACAATTCACAGAGCTGTACACGTATAGGCCGTAAAAGGGTGCCAAAAAAACCACAAACAAAAAGAAACTTGCACCTTTTCTGTATGATAAATACATGATTTATGATAGCTCCATTCTAAATCTGGTGTAACGTTTCTCTACAAGTCCAGATTTGGATTGGAGCGTATTGCTTTTTAAAGCACTGTAAGACTTTCCATTATCCTGCGGCTCGATAAGTCCAATAGATTCACCTTTCAAATGGTCAGAAATTTTCAAAAGAAGAATACTTCTCTTTCCATCAGGATGAGAAGAGATTGCATTCCATTTTCCATACAATTTGAAACCAATTCTGTGATACAAAACTGTGATCCTCTTTGCACTGCCTTTTAGAATTAGCACGCCTTCTATGCATCAAATCAGTCTACAGTTCCCTAGTGTAACTCTCAAAACAAAGAGAAACTCTTCCGGTGCCTTGAATGGTGGGAGCGACGTGCATGTTCAACAGATGCTCTAGGAGTGGGTCCGGTACTGTCAACAGTATCAGTTTGGGCATCTGAGGATCGAGGGATAAGCTTGCACCCAATTTTCCTGGGAACCAAGCGAGGAGAACTAAGAGAACTATGCGATTTGGTCACTTTCTTCATCTCCTGTTTTATTTTACTAAACTCTTCTTCAAGTTCCCCAACTCTGGACCTCATATTTTCCATATCTCCCTTTAGAACCTGGTTCTCACGCACAACTGTTATCCACCCATCTCTCTGTACAATCTGGCCCGCCATATCACTAGCAAAGGTCATCGGAGCTGCAGGGGCACTTTCAGTGTCCAAGACATGTAGACAGCCAGCAAGAGCAGTTCTCAACTGCATCTGCTCAAAGAACAAGACTTGAAGAACAACTCTAAGTGGTAACCTTGCATTCTGGGAAGCATGGGCACAGGCATCAATGGAGAGCTTCTGGTAGTCAATGATGTTGCAGAGTTCTTCCTTCTCTTTCTCTGATAGCCAAGGGTGTGCCTGCAAAATGCTACAAGTGATCGGAAACCTTTAAAACTAACAAGAAGGCTATTTCAGAAGCAAATCCAGTAAATTCAAACCTTGAAATATATATCTAGTGCCCTGTATAGCCCATCATGCAGTGGTCTTGAAGATTCTGGAAGGGCCACAGCAAGAGAGCGTATCTTTCTAGGTTTCAAATTTATGTCCGAAGCAACCTCTGCGATATAGTTATCTATCAATTTTGCAACCTTTCTTAATGGTTCAGATGATGGAGATGTTTCTGGGTCCAATGATGATGGAGAAAATGATGTAATCCTTGATTCTGAAGACATGAAATGATGGATGATTCTTTCCACACAGTCAACATTATACAAAGTATCAGAATCTGAATACGCTGGAATAAGAAGGCTATCTAGGGTCGCAACTTCCAGTTGCATCCCTATTCTCCTCTCTAAAGAATCCTTGCACGTTTGACTGACACCCAGTATCAGCGCAACTCGAAGAAGTCCCAATAAAAAACGGCAAAAGGATTTCCCCTTCTTTTCTGGGAGAATTTTTTCAATGGTTTCTAATAAAACCTTTTGATCAACAACAGCAGGTGTCAAACTAAAACTGGCAACTGTTCTAGTTTTTCCACTTTGTCCACTTTGCCACCTGCCTAGGCCCGGTAGATATTTCCTGGCATAATACATAATTGCACCCACAAGAATTTCAGGTCTTATCCCTCTGGTTTCCATTGTATTGATCAGTCTTTCAAACAAACCTACGCTAAGGTATGAGATGTCCTCAAACCACCAGTCAGACTCTGCACTTCGGATTCTTGCCCCAGTGTTTATACCATTCCAAAGGATGCTACCACCAGGGCTCTGTAAGCTACCATACATCATCATGGGCCATCCAAACAAACTAGGATCTGTGCATACCATCATGGATAGAGCACTTAAACATTTGCTTATAATCTGGAGCTTTTCAGCCCTTGCAATTACAGGGTCGGAACTTTGAAGAGCCAATATACAGTCTTTCCAGTTATGAAGTACATTCTTGTGGAAGAAATTCTCAGACTTGGAAAGTAAGTTATCTTCTCCGTACTCATCTGTCATTTGAAGATAGTCTGCTGCACAACACACCATTACTATGTTTCTTGGTGTCAATTCCATCCGTAAGCCATAGCAAAACTTTACTGCAATCAAGAAAGTATCTGGACCACCAGGGAATTCCTCAAATACTGTGACGAATGCCTTTTCAGAGGATTCTTCACATATTCGTGCTATCTTCCCACATCTTGACACCAGCGGAAACTGGATGATAATATGTTGTTATCAATATTTCCAAAATCCAATTTGAGTAATATCAGCAGCTCCACATTAAGAAAGTCTTTGCAAGAAAAAAGTCATACAGTGCAGTTTGATCACATCAAGCATAGAAGGCAATAGATTATTTTACAAGATATTATAATTCATACCAGGCATGGTGAAAAAATGCTATGTGAATTTTTTTAAAAGAAAAGGTCAAACCAGATGGTTAAAAAGATGTAAACTAAACCTTCAAGTTTCGTGGGGAACAATAGGCACTCTATTCACAGGCTAAAGTACTAGCTACCACATTTCTGCATCATGTTGCAATATAAATGATTAAGGGTTTTTTGTGAAAGGTATATTTCATGTCCTGGATGAAAAGCATATTGGAGCAAGGTCTCAAGGAAAATGAAGGTCCCACTAAAAGCAAGCGATTTTAAAATATCCAGTAATTCCAAAAACTGCATTACACTCCTGACCAACACCATAAACCATTCCAAACACTCTAATCATGATGCCAAGAAAAACTCACTCATGCAAGCAATTGCATTCACCTTGTGTACCAAATGCATTAAGTCCAAGATAACCAGACAAAATAACAACAACAACAACAATAATAATAATAATTAATAATGACAGAGGATAGACATTTAACACCAAGAGCTCATCAGCATCCCTCATATCCAACTTTATGTTATATTCTTACATGCCATTGATTTTCCTGGATACAGTGCTGTATTTTGTTTATTCTTGCGTCATTTTTTTTTCTTGCAAGAATTTCTGCCTCAGTTTCCGACACAGTGGTACATACATGGTTTTAACTTCCAATCAAATTTGAACGAAATGAAGCAAGCTTGGTACTCATCAGATGTCTGAGGAACACTTTATGGTACTCATCAAAGAATGTGACATGTTTAGTCTTATGATCGCCGACTAACAGAATAGACCATTCTGTCAAACAAGACCCTTTTAAGTTTCGAAGTTAAAAAAGAGTAAATACAACAAAGTGAACAGCATCAGCCATATTTAGGTCAAAAATTTTAGGACGAAAGGGTAAACTATCCACAATTTTACATAAACCATGAATAAGGAAGTCAAAATTATTAAAAGACAGGTTCACAAAACAACAAAAGGAAGATGAATCAGTTACTGTAGCTCTCAAACCCTTCAAGTAGGTAAATATCAGCATACCTTATGAAGATGGAACTTTATACCATCCACAACAACAGTGATATCACTTGGCAACCCTGCATTACAGAACCTGCCAAACCCACCAGGAAATCATATTATCAGTCAATCAAACACACAATCAATTTTTCTTTTTTTCAAAAAAAAACTTCCTTTTTTCGTCGAAATCCCATGAATTATAATACAAGGCATGATTTTAAAAGGGAAAAAGAACTCATAATTCAAATTTCAAAGCATAATACTGGTAACTACACACCATCACAGCTTTAAAACAAACCTGATGAAAAATAAACTCAAATTGAATACACCCAATGAAGAAAACTGTCAAAAACCCCAAAAATTTTAAAATATGGGTTTGAGAGATTAAAAGAAATAAAGTGAAGAAACATACCAGCCATTACCCTCTTTGCGAAAACCAGTAACTTTCCCTGCAGGGGCCATAACCAAGGTAAGAGAGAAACAAAACCCCTCCTTTTTTTTTTCTCTGTTTTTCCTTATCAAACAAGCAAAACCCTCAGTTGGGTGCAAAAGAAACGAAATTTGAGGCAAATAAGCACAGAAACAAAACCATGCTTAATGACTTAACCATCACGGTGTTAAAAAGGGAAAGAAAAAGATAACAGCAAAACTAAAACATAAGGGAAGAGAAGGCACGCCAAGAGAAGTCTTAGGTGAGTCAAATGGGGTCGGGTGGGCAACAACAGAAACTGTGGGTCTCTTTACAGCTAAGAAAAACACATACATGTGTAAGTTTCAAGTGTTTTTAAGTATGTGTTAGTCTGTTTTAAAAAGGGGAGAATTTTGCATGCCAATTTAACAAAGAAAACCACTATCAGCATGGACCTTATAATAAATAAATACATAAATAAACCAAAAAAAAAATGTCCAAAAAAAAAAAAAAAAGAATTTTGAGTTTGTGAGGTTGGTTTAGGTGATAGGTGAGTTTGCTTGAAGTTATTGTTTCTATTTCAAATCGTAATAGAGATTACAAAAAAGAATTCTTTTCTTATTTTCTTTATTTATCAAGAATTCCATCAAATCTTGAATTATACAATAAAAATAGATCTCTTTAATAATAATATATAATAAAAATAAAGAAATTTTTTACATATTCATTAGGTCTAATTTGCATGTATACGAAAATTTTTTTGATAAATATATCAATGCTGATAAAATGGCCCATTTGTTCATTTAAGACGCAACCAATGAAATTTTGGTTTTGTAAGTGAGAGCCGGCTCAAAAATGCTCTAATTATATTAAAAGAGAGTGAGTGAGAGAGAGAGAGAGAGAAGGGGGGGGGGGGGGGAGATATCGTGGCATGGAAAAGGAATGCACAGATCACGACGTGGAACGAAAAGGGCAAGAGGGGCAAGGTGAAAATGAAAACTTTTGTAATGGAAAATGTTTGTGTGAGATTTGATGTAGGCAAAAGGATAGTAAACAAAGCACGAGATTCTTGGAGTGAAGGGCCGGCTAATAAGGTAAGGAGAAACAGAGAGACAAGCATGATGATAAGAGAGGCAAATTATGGTTTAAAAAAAATGATGGTTTGTCTCGCGCTTTTTGTCGAACATTTTGCCTGCAATCATCATTCAAAACGAGTGTGTTTTGGATATGTCTTGGATTTGGGACCCATATGCTTTTTCTCTTATACGTTTTTGGGTTGGGTTTTTTTGGATCAGGAATGAACAATTGGTAGTTAGTTTAAAATGTTTCTGTTTGGTTTTTATGGAAAGCCTTGGTAATTTTTTTTTTTTTCAGAAGACACGGCCAGAGGTCTATCGTTGGTGAGTATTTGATAAACTGTAGTTTATTATTTTTATCGGTAAAATTACATCTATTGTATTTTTAAATAATATATTAGTTTTTTAACCTTTTTTATTATTAATTTTTTTGATTATGTGTAAATTTTTATTAATTTTTTATTGAAATATTTTTTACTAAAATTCAAAAAAAAAAAACGTAAAGTGACATGACTTGTATGTTTTAATTTTTAAGTTTGTAAAAATTTATTAATTTTTTTTTTTACATTTCAATTAGGAGTATTTGAATAAAAAAATTTACTCATAATAAAAAAAATTGATCGAAATAATAAATTAAAGACTTAAATATTATTTAAGAATATAATAAATATAATTAAAAATATAGAGAAATATTAAAAATTCAAACTATTATATAAATACAAATTGAACTTTTTATTCTATTTTTATTTGGTGGTTAGGTTAGGTTTGGGATTAAAAAAAAATTCTTATTTTTCGCAAACTCAGATATGAGTCAAAATCAATCGGAATTCTTAACTTCTCTGCTTGGTAAAGTGTTTTCTTTTTCTTCCTTTTGAAATAATATTTACGTTGTCGATTTACGTAATACTTATAATAATTCAATTTGATTAGATAAATGATAAAGCGATTTCTACAATCTTCGATCTTTTTGCACGACAATGATGATGATTAATTATTGACTTAATATTTAACCATGTGGTTAAGGACTTTAAACACTAATTGATAAATAAATGAGTACTTAAACATGAATTGCCATCACATGCACGAGTGATGTTACAAAATTGGATCTCGAATTCTCATGACTCGGTATTTTTTGCGCTTTGCGAAGTAGGTGAAGAGAATTAGCGAACTGATTTGGTATAATTTGTAATCCATTATTGTGGTGGTTGTGCCATTATTGTTGACCAGGTTGTCCAAACCAATGAAGAGAATGCTAGAGGATGAGAAAGGTTTTATAATTGGAGATGAAGAGAATGCTAGAGGATGAGAAAGGTTTTATAATTGGAGATGAAGAGAATGCTAGAGGATGAGAAAGGTTTTATAATTGGAGTAGATTGTAAATTAGTTTTTTTAGTTTTGAAAAATGATTAACTAGTCCTTATTGTTTCACAAACTAATTGTTCAATCTTCTTGTCTATTTTATGTTCTTTTTTATTTATCCATTTTTTATGAAAGAAAAATAGATATCATGGAAGATTGATAAGAAAAATATATTTTTTTAATATAAAGTAATATTAAATTAAGTATAGTCAACATTAGTGAAAAAAACTAAATAATAAGTTTTTAAAATAAAAGAAGACTAATTAATTCGTTTTTCAAATCCAAAAAATTAATTTATGATTTACACTTTATAATTGGGAACATAATTATAATTTCATAAATCGCCACACTTTATGCATGTGAACGGACAAGACACCTAAGTGTTGTTTGGTAATAAAAAATACAGTGATAGAAATGAGAATAAAAGTTTTATTCTCACGTTGTAATCGTTTGGTTAAAAAGAATGAAATAGAAATGAGAATGAAGAGTGAAAATGAGAATAAAAATTTACACACAACTTTATTCTCATATAAAATGTTGGAATAAAAATAAGGAATGTAAATGAATTTTTTTTTCAAAATAATAATATATTTTGTTTATTTATTGTTTATTAATTACATTTACCACCACCATTAGAACCAAAACTGCTCATCACCACCATCACTTTTATTATTTTACAACCATTATAATTTGTTAAATTATTTTTTAATTGTTATATTTATTTATATAAAAAATCGGATGTTAAAAAATTTAAATTATATTCTAATTCCTCATTAGTATTTTAAACATAGTATGAGAATACAAATATCATTTCGATTTCTTAATTTTCATTTCAATTTCTGCATTCTCATTTCGGAACTTTTATTCTTGATAATCAAATAATACTCTAATTCTTTCAATTATACCTTCCTCTCTCAACTGCTGGACCTTGAACGTTATAACTCCATGTAAAATGTTAAATTAAACTTATTAAACTAGCTTCTATAAATAACATGAAAAATAATTCACGATTTGAAAAATATATATTGATTTTTTTCAATTGACAAATTAATTAATATTTTTTTTCATATATAGTGACTTTTGAGACATTTATTTTTAATAGCTAGTTATTTTACATAAAGTGCTAATGTTAATTATGCAAAAGATATTTTGATTAAATTGATAATTATTAAAAAATAATATAAATCATATTTTTAAATTTTAATTTATGGTTTAAATTTTTTAGTTGAAATAAGTCTCTAATACGCTAACAAAGCTTTACTAGTTTAATGGTCTCTCGTCACATCTACGTCTGCTTCTAATAAAAAAATATAACGGTATAACGTAATTTAGACATGCATAACTTTAGAACTCAAAAGAAATTTAACTCGAGAAGGTGTTTTAAAAAATAATAATATTAAGCTTCTAGCGGATAGATTTGAATATATATATATATATATATATATATTCTTTTCAGAAATACATTCCTACTGTTTTTATTATTTACGAGAGAGCCAAGAATTTGTAATGTTCTGAGCCACCACAGCTAGTTCATCACCATTCGAGATTATCCGAATCAGATCACGCCAATCCGATTTGTACGAAGTGGGCTCAGCCCTGCTCTTATTCCAAGGATCCTTCTACCGGCTTACATCGCATAAAGAAAGAGTGCCCATCAATAGTAGGAATTGAAAAAATGATCTGGTGGGTTATGGCTTATCGGATACCACTTCACCTGCACCCTTCATGGCTACGCCCCGAGTTAACTTTACTATATGGACAGGGCTGCCCTAGCCAAAGTCCTTTTCAGTACATTTGAAAAAGGGAGAAAGAATTCCAACTACATGCCTTCAGCGAAAAGTGGCCAAAATAGCGAGCTATCCTGAAACCGGACTTGAAAATTTTCCAACTACATGCCTTCTTGGTGTCCTTATCTTCATTGGAGCAAAAAGATTCCATCCTAGCTTCAGTAGTAGTTGGCAACACTTTCTAGTTCTTGAAAATTTTAAATACTTATTGTTCTATTCTTAGATTAGATTAGGCTATTTTTCTATGATGAAAGCAACACATTGGCCTGTTTATTTCATGCCAACTAAGTACATAAAGTAATCAAATTCATTGATGGAAAAACCCAACTTTGATTCTTAGCTACCAAACCAAAGTTGATGCAAAGAAAAAAAAAGTTGTTACAAGTCAATTTTCTGAGAGCAAAAATAAGACATTGTGCTGAGAACTTGCACAAATGCTGTGGTGTATCTAATTTTTTGGCAAAAGCTTACCAACTAACCGTCTACAAAGGAAGGAAAATGCTTTATACAACCTTTTCGTTCCCTTTTGAACCAGTGACTGAAATAAAGCCGAACCCACTAACGACACCAACCCCTCCGGTTTCCAATAATGTTAAAACTAGCAAAACAGTCAATTAAAGACCCTTATGCTCCTTTCAATTTTATTTTTTTAATCTAAAAAACCCTAATGTTAACATAGCACACCAAAATTCGCCAGGATAGAGACAAACATATCAAAGGACTTGTTAATTAGATCATATCATGTTGCTTTCAAAAATGAAAAAATGAAAAGTGAGCAAATATTTGATGGAAGAAGGAAAAATGACGTGTTATTCCTGCAACTCGAAAGGCGTTGCCAGTCAGTGGAGACGGTTAGAGCCCAAATCCTCAAAAAGTTATCGAAAAACACAATCCACAGAAAAATAATCACAACTTTAAAAGTTGGCCGTAAGTGAGTTTTGTTGAACAGTTTGTGACCCTAATGAAACAGAACTGGGAACTGCTGCTTTCGTTCTTTCACTTCTATCGTTTTTGTTTCCCGGCCCAAAACATTTGGGCTACCCAAACAACAAACCTGGCAGGTGCTACTGCGGCCGATAAACAAGCACGGACAAGAACAGCATTTGGGCTTGACAAAGAACTAGCAAATCTTAAAGCCCACATTATCAGGCTCGAGATCTGTAAATGCACCCGCATCACGCTTCACGCTTCAAGAGATGCAAGCTCTTAACAGATCAAAATATTGCAAAGAGGGAGATGAAAAGGCTTACAAGATTGGAATTAATAAATAATAATTTAAGAGACAGAAGGATAGAGATGACAACAAGTTAATACAACACTTCCCTGCAGTAACAAGATAGCGGGCAAGGACATGCAAACCTCGCTAAAGAAGTAGAACAAACTTTGTATAACGTCCCCATTATGTGAGTAGCCCATGCTCAAGGTGACAAATTACAGTAAGACAGACAGATATATTTCTTGATCAGCAGAATCTATTATCTTCTCGAGGTTTGACATTCAAAACACATTCCTGAGCTAAAATTGTGGCGTATAGGGAATCAACCATTATGATATACTTAAAAAGATTTCCTTAACAAAAGAATTGGAACACCTGCTAATTACCAGCCCATCCAAGAATATCCCTTCTCTCCCATCTCGTTTATTTCTTTAGCTGGTTGTGGGTTGTGAGATAACCTTCTTGATTGCCTCGGCATATGTCTTGTGTTGATAAGTGAGGGTTGAATCAAGCAAGTCCCACAGAGATGTCTTGGGGTTCCAACCTGATGATCCACCAAACAATGTCAAAAGGGCAGAACAAAGAGATGTCTAATGGCCTTAAATGTCAGAAATAGAGAAAGTAAAATTGAAAATGTAGCTCGAGAAACAAGGCAATACCAAGTTGTTTATTGATTATGGTCATGTCTGGAATTCTCTTGTCACTATCATCATATCCCTCACCATAGAATTCTTTGGAGCTGATATCAACTGTGGGTTGCTCCAGAGCAGGTTCTCCACTTACTTTTGAGTAGACCTGTTACAAGAAAAGCAAGCACGTCTGTTTCAGGATGTAGAGGACAAAGTAACACTGTAGTTAGTAACATAAACGATAATGTATCATCAGAACAATTCCTCACCTCTGTCATCATTTCAGCAAGCTGCCTAACAGTGACTTCATTGTTAGGGTTGCCAACATTGAAAATATGACCATTGGCCCTATCAGGATTTTCCTACATAAAATATAACAACGGTAGGCATTTCTTTTCTAAGAAAAAACAAGAAAAGGAATGAAACAGGATATAATTTAGCACGTACAATCATCAATAGAACAGCCTCTATGGCATCCTTAATATAAACAAAAGTTCTCTGGGATACACCACCATCCACAAGCTTGAGTTGCTCACGACGTAGAAGAGCCTGACAGAAAAATGAGGACATCACCATCGAAGAAACCAAAGAAAACAAAAAAAGCAAAATAATGATCTTAAGAATCCACATTGCGAAAATTAGACTAACATTGCTAAAGCATGCCAGAACCCTGGGAACACCCTCACTTGGGCCATCAACACCCGGAATGAAATCCATTCTGGGTCCAATCCAGTTGAAGGGCCTCACAATAGTGAACTCAAGCCCATTCTCTGCACCCTCAGCTGTCATCATTAAGAAAAGAAGTCAGAACAAAATGTTCGAAGTAGCTCAAAATCTCCAGATCATAGGACAAGATCGATTACCATAGATCAGCCTCTCAATCAATTGCTTTGCACATGCATAGGACCACCTCTGCTTCTCAATGGAACCAAAGATGCAGGGAGAGGTGTCTTCTTTGAGGACATAGTAGGCAGGATCCTATCGCAACAAATCAAATAGAATCACTGGCCTCATGTCTAAATACATCATATCAAGAAAAAATAAAAAACAGAATAAATTAAAAGTCGAAAGCAATTCAAAATCATAACAACTTTCATAACTCCCAATACAAACAAGCAAGAACATCAACAATAGAAAGACTCTGATACAAGCACACAATTTTATTAGTTTCTAAATGTAACTCCACTCAAGTCAAAATCAAAATAGTAAAAGGACTGAGAACTCTCACCACTCTTATAAATGTTATACCTGACCTAACTAATCAAACAGAAACTTCTAATCCGCTATCACTACTTCCATTAAGCGAAGTAGGTGCATATTATCCGTGTAGAAAAATGGAATAACAGAACCAACCCCTCAACAAGCCAGTGCAAGCATTCCAGCAATGCAGCTTAATCCAAAGGATATAGGTACTAAATCACAAATCTAAAATTACAATCAGATGAAGAGTTTTCAAAATCAATCTACCAATTCTGCAATTACATACATCAAGAAAGCACATGAACATAAATCTAAATAGCCAAAAGGAAAAGGAAAACGAAAATGAAATCTTACCTGACGAAGAGGACTATCTTTAGGAAGAAAACTACCGATAGTTTTTCCATACACTTCACAAGTCGAGAAGTGAATCAGACGCTTCGCATTCTCTGAACAGTACTTCACCTAAAATAATTACAAAATAAAAAAATACACATCAACTTCAACAAAGAACAAATAACTAACAACCGAATCTTCATCAATTTCAACCGATCTTGAAAACTACACTGACAAATTCAACCGAAAATGACACAAATAAAACAAAATAAAGAAACATTACCACAGGCAGCGCGTCAATAAAGTTGCTATAAATCGTATCCAAAGGACGCGTATTATAATCCGCCGGAGTACAGATCGCCGCCAGATTAATCGTCTGCATAACACAAAAACACTACAAATTAACACAATGATTACCGCTTAATTACAAATTAGCGACTAAAAAACGTAAAAACAATTACCAGATCTGACATCTTGATGAGGCCTTCAAGGCGAGAATCGTGCTTAATATTGATACGGTAAAACTGGATCCGGCCAGCCCATTTGAGACTATCCGATTCGAGAAGGTGCTTGATCTTGTCATTGTAAACATCAAGGGCCAAGATCTTGTGTGGAGTTTCGTTCAAGATCTTCTCACAAAGGTGGGACCCGATGAAACCACCGGCACCGATCATCAATATTGTTAGGGGATTTATCGGTTTTCCATCAAGATTAATCCTCACCGTTGATGATGCCATTGCAAGAAATTAGAGAAGAGAGAGAGAGATAATTCAGACTGTTTAGAAGAGAGAATGAAGAGAAATGGATTAATTTTTGAGAGAGATGAAATGAGTGGTTTTCGGAAGGAGAAAGGGGAAGGAGCGGTTTATATTGGAAGGAGGGAAAAGAGGGTAATGTGTGATAAATTGATTGATTTCGTAGTGGGTTTACGTTTGTACGCGCGAGTGTAGATGAGGATGCACTCGCTGCGGGTAAGTGATACGCGTTGAAGTGGATGTGGTCCGCGGTGAAATAGTGGACTTTTTACTGTTTGTTTTATTTATTTAGAAAATAACCCCCTATTTTGCCGCTTGTATTTATGGACGGACAGAAATCCTTTTCTTTTATTTTTTTTCCATAATGGAAAGATATGCCAAAATCAGAAAAATCAATAATTAAATCCAGTTTTCTTTAATTTAATTCATCCCATCAACATGAGAGACGAAATTGACTTGGTAATTTTATTTGGTTATGATTTTGAGATTTGGATCTCTGTGGGTAATTGATAGTCTCTGATTTGTTGGGTTGACTTGTGTAAAATAGTATGAGGAGATCTAATTGCGATTTGTCACGCAACACTTTCGTCTCTTGTCTTGCATTATTGGCTTTCCACAGGTGGGCTAGGATTATTTGCATGCATACAATTGTAAATTTAAAGATTTGGAAGGGTAATTTAGCAAAACAAATTTTCACGTCATCACCAACCGTGTACCCAAAACATCATCAGGTTGTCTTGCATTATTGGCTTTTCACGGGTGGGCTAGGATTATTTGCATGCATACAATTGTAGATTTAAAGATTTGGAAGGGTAATTTAGCAAAACAAATTATTCACATTATCATCAACCCTTGTTTCCAAAATATGAAAAATTTTATAATACTTAACTAGTGAAGATTGAAAATTACTCTATAGAGAAAAATAAACATAAAAAAAAATAAATATGAAAAAAAATTAAAAAAATTGAGTTAAGATGAAATTTTTTTTATCATTTTCGAATGTTATTCTGTCTTTTTCATATGTCTATTTCTATCTTAAAAAACAAATTTATAAAATAATTATTTTATATATATTAATTATTCATTGAATATTTTAAAATTTTTACTGAGATGCTTTGGTGGATAACTAACTTACCCACGGTGATATTTATGCAGTAAACGTGTAAATATTCTTTCATGTGAAGAATCACTATTGATCAATAGTTTAATAAAGGATGAATCCATGAACAACCACAAATCATAATGATTAATGTACTTATTTATTAAAACAATGATTATAAAACTTACGTAATGATGCCGCGGAATGTGAGATAGAAGTTTCCAAAGATAAGAAGCGAGTAAAATTGCTGTCATGAGCGAAGAGTATCAAACAGTCACCAAGTCATGTGAGTGGTTTGTTACCAATGAGCTGTCTATCTATAATACTCACGTGGGTTTCTTATTTTTGTTTATTTTATAAATACTGACCGCAATGCCCACCTATCCCCATCCACCTTTTCCATGCGTTATCACCACGCTCCAATCCCTAATGCAATCTCGTTTTTTTTTAGAAATGATCTTGTTCCTTTCTTTCTCTAGTGGAAAAGGTAAATTACACACTCCCTAAATTAATTATTAAAATCAAGTTTAGAGTTACAAGTTGAAAATTTCACCCATTTGTCAGCCAAGTGTAAGAGCTCAACTCTCATGTGTTTGATGAATTGATAAAATAGGTGAGATATAAATCTATTAATCAATGTTTGTTTTCATCATCACTGCGTAAAACACTCATACAATTATAAAGACTTCATTTATTTGTAATTATATCATTTATTACATCGATCTTATAGAGATCTTAAAAAAAATTATTGGCTTTTTCTTTGTTTTCTATATTTTAACGAAGACAAAACTAAAAATTTTGAATGTAGACGTTGATGTTGAATTGCATTAGGTTAGTTTTATTTTAAAAAAATTATGGTGTGTAGTCTATTGAATATTTTTTATATTAATTTATATTTTTATATATTTAACGTGATATATGTTTACTAATATTTATTTTTACTTACAACTCATTTTTTAAAATATGTTACTTATTGAATCATAAGACTTATTTAAAGTTCCAATATTATGTTAAAATTAATTTATATTTTTATATATTTAACATGAGATATGTTCATTGATATTTATTTTTACTTACAACTCATCTTTTGAAATATGTTATCTATTGAATCGTTAGACTTATTTGAAGTTCTGATATTATATTAAAATTAGATAGTTGATTATGAGTTTTATCTAAACCTTGTATTGGATAGTCTATTCACATATTTATATTAACTTATATTTTTATATTTATTCAATATGAGATATTTTATAATAAAAAATAATATAAGTTGAAAATGATTATAGCAAATAATATGTAATTCTTGAGGGAAAAGTGTATATTTTCTTACTCAAAAAAACTTGAATTTAGTACGTCTGTAACATTTCAAAATTTACAAGACTCTAAAAAACTCATCAAAGTTTGCAGTGCCATGGTCCCTTGAGCTACTACGACTCATTCCCAACCGTACAAGTGCAATTTCTTTAATTTATTGCCAGTTGCCAGCCATACACGTGAAAATAAACAATGGAAAGCGATGATGACAGAATGATAAATAATTATCACCTCTCACTATACGATTAAGACCTGTTAACGAGTGATTGCAACTACAAGCTGAATAGGATATTTCTTTCGTGTGTAAACAAAATAAAACCATCGATCATTAAATAGGTTTGAAATTAAGGATAAAAGATTAAATCTCACGCTTTGAGAAAAAAATAACAACACATCTATGTACGTACACACTCACAAATCAATAATTGAATTCACATCATTATTACGATAATATAAAAAATAAATAGCTTGATCTGTTTTTATACAATAATCCGAATTTTTAATTTATCTTTATATTTTTAATTATATCTATTTTTTTTGGTTTAAATTCTTAATCTATTCTCCTGATCAATTTCTGACAATAAGCAAATTTTTTTCATCGAATTGCCTTAGATTAAGATGAAAAAAAAAAACTTAAAGTCACATAATGTGCTTGTTTTATTTTTTAAATTTTTAGATTTTTTTTTCATTTCAATCAGAGACATTTTGATTAAAAAAATTATTCATGATTTAAAAAAAGAAATAGTAAATTAAAAGACTTCAACATTATTAAAAAATATAATAGATATAAATAGAAATATAAAAATAAATTCCCTTGATCTATTATAACTCATTCCCAACTCCGCAAGCGCAAATTCTTTAATTTCTTACCGATTGCCACTTTGCCAGCCATAAACGTGAAAATAAAAATTGGAAAACGACAGTTACAGATTGATAAATAACTATTGCCTCTCACTGTACCACTGAGGCCTGATAACTAGCGACGTGCAGCGGCAAGCTAAATATGATTTAAAAAACAAAATAAAAAATCATTAAATAGGCTTGAAATTAAGGATAAAAGATTAAACCTCAAACTTTGAGAAAAAAATAATAACAAGTCTAAATATATACACAAACAAATTAATAATTGAATTCACTCTATTGTTACAATAACATAAAAGGTAAATAACTCAATTTGTTATTATACAATAGTTTGAATCTTCAATTCATCTCTTCGTTGTTTAATTGTATTTATTATATTTTTTTTAATCTATTCTTCCAATCAATTTTTTGACAATGAGTAAATTTTTTTTTATTGAAATGCAATAGATTAAGATGCGAAATAAATAAATAAATAAAGTCACGTAACATGCATATTTTATTTTTAAAATTTTTAGACTTTTTTCATTTCAATTAGAGAAATTTAAAAAAAAAAAAAAAAAGAAAAAAATTGCTTATGGTTGGAAAGTTTGAGAAATAATAGGTTAAAGACTTGGATATTATTCATAAATATAATAGATATAAATAAAAATATAAAAATAAATTAAAAAATCAGAGTGTTATATATATATATTTTCCCCTGCTTGAAGGTTTTGCTTTGGTGTACTCGCGAAGCTCTAAGCATGCATTAATAACCAACCATTTTCGATGAGAATTCTACATCCCGGTTTATGCATGCACTTTCATCGATTTATTGCCATGAAAGTTGGGTGGAGGCGACATCTACTGTAGTATATTTCATGGGTATGTTTTTTGAACTGTACTTATTGGGCACTAGTAAATTGTGAATTTTCGTGTGCAATGGTTGAAGAGGTGAATTTAAAATCCCTCTGACTGTTCATTTTTTGAAGATATATAGGGTGAAATATTTAAAGATAGGATTTATCTTTTTAAAGAGATTGTGAGATTAGAATTGGATGGAACTTGAAAGTAAATATTGAATAAATTCAATTCAATATCATCCTCTATTTTTATATAATATGTCAATTTTTTAATCCGTTTTTTTAAAAAAACTCTTCCAATCTGTATCTATATTTTGAATTAGTTTTTGATTTATCATTTTAGTTAAAAATTTTGGCTAATTCTTTTAAAATTAAAGATGTGATTTACACATGGTATTTAATTTAATAAAATTATCTTTGTTATCTAACACAAGTGATCTATTTCTATTAATACGAAGATTAATTTTTGATAAATTGATCGAAAATTTAATCGAAACGATAAATTAGAAATCAACTCAAAACATAAGGACAAATCGATAGCATAAAAACTTCTTGAAAAATTAATCTATTATATAAAAACATGTTAAGGTATTAATCTAGGATAAATAGTACGTATACTACTACTGTCAAATCAATTAGCACATCCATTTCCTTATAGCTACAACGGAAGGATTAATGATAAAATTATAAATATTATATACATACACACATGTATAATACTACTATTGAAATATATCTATACTATACGTAATTAAAAAAAACTATAAATATTTTACATGTATGTATTTTAGATCAGATTTGACTTGAGTTTGATAGTATTTATACACAGTACATTATTCAACAAATAAAATTTTTAGATATTTGCATCC